GAGGAGGGGGGGGGGGGGGGAAAGGAAGAGGTCAGCATCCTATGCACTCACCCATTCACTGTGTCATGACTTTATAGAGATTTCCTTCTGTCAGTTGAAAAGCCCACATCTCTCACTACCAGTTGTACATCTAATGCAACAATTGGCTCACTAAAATGGGAAAGTGTTCTAACTCGGCCTTAAGCAACAAAGAGCCCAAATAACATCTCACCATTCACCTGATCCATGTCTTCCTGTTTTTCAGCTAAATCGTACTTTCCAGAACTGGAATTACACTGTGTATGTGGTCAATATCAGGTAAATGAAGGGGGAAGGTGTTTATGCTATATTTCTTTTGAGAATTAGCCCACCTTAATTAATGTTTATTTCATTTATAGCATCCACCCTGGCTCCGTAAAAGGTGGAGTAAGAGAAAAAAGAAGTATTAACAGGTAACACTTTAAAAGACATATTGTTGACAGAGGCAAGGGGAGATATTACAAGTAGCTTTACAACAGGCTTTATTATCTGTTATTGAATTTGTTGTCTATTATTAGGTATATGCTGCCAGTCTGTAAATACATGACTGCTGGCAAGATGAGTGATGTAGATGTGCTCAGAAACCTAATAATGGTTATCATGTTTGTTTTGGTTCAAACCTACAGAGCTTTAAACCTTAACAGATCATTTATTTCCAGAGCTTAGGTTTCATCTGTCACAAAACTGAATAAACATCATACATACATACATGGTATGTCACACCCAGTTTTCTTTGGCAACAAGCCTTGGTACACTGCTCTCTCTCCTCTTTCACTGTGTTTATTCTCTTGAACCAGAGCCTTTTGAGCTAACAGACATCTTACTAGATGCAAAACACTGAAAAATCATGCTAGAATTGAAAGCCAAACTAGTGTGAATTAAACTATTTACCATATGCTCTCATTTCCTGACTTCTGCTGGGCTCAGAGGCACTGGAGTTGGGACGGCCTCAAAGGCAGCCAGAGAAAGTTAGATGGGTCACACCCCCTGAAAATTGGGCCTTGGAGGATTTCTTTGAAAGCAGCAGGCTGATTTCTGAGGGATATATGGGGAGGGAGTGAATCACAGGACCCAATTAAGGAGAGGAAACCGAAATATAATTAGTCTTGTGAGGAAGGGGCAACAAGTGGGTATGGGATGTATCCGTCTGCAGTGTAGGCAAAAGGATACATCCCATAAGAAAGGACTTTAACTGATGACTCGTGAGAAGTGCCATGATAACAGCTAGGCTTTTTAATTTCAGAGATAGGCCAGTATTCCAAATTTACCCTCAGGAAGTAGTTACTGATGCTTACGGTTTTCCCCAGAGTTTACCTAGACATGAAAAGATTTGTAAAAGGTACTATCTCTTCCCACACCCACAGCAGAAAGACAGTTTTTACTAGCAAAACCATTTCACTGGTATAGTGTAAACCCAGTCTCTGAATGGGCTATTTTCCTGCTTGACCTACATTTACAGTAGGGTGTAGTGATGTGGGTGGGATTTTTTTTCACACTTCTAAATAATATGCCTTTTAAGTGGAGACTATGCTTCAGGTCTTACCAGCAAACCAAAACTGCTGAGGAATGTAAAGCTTTCCCCATCCTTATTCCTGTGTCTTTTACAAGGCTAGTAGCTCTGCTTGTCAGCGTCTGTTCTCCCCTAGACTTGACTCCTGATTTCTTCTTGTTTAACCTTCTCACCATCTTATTGTCTGGGTTTTGTTTCTCTTCATAGCCTCTAAACAAACAAAGGGGAAGAAGTAGAAATTATTCTAGTAAATTCCCTTTTCCTTTCCTATCCCTCCCTTTCTGACATACAATGAATATGGCACGACATTACTTCTAATAATATATCACTGTTACCGGGAAGTAACCCCTTTCCTATTTCCTTTTCTCATCATATGTTATTTCAGAGGCAATGGAATCACATGTCAGTAATACGTCATAAAGGTTTTCAAGGGAGGCCTGGTCTAAAGAGAAAGTAGTCTTCACATGGGCTCTAGTGCACTTTGTGTCAAGGCCAAATAGTATTTTTTCATTATTCTGAATAGTTTAATATAAATGCTAATCACGTCACAAAATGTTACTGTTCTCCAAAAAATTAAGTTTGTTATACTGTGAATGTTTTCTTAGAAATGGAAAAAAAAAAAAAAAGACAAGTCAAGGTTCTGCCCAACCTAGCAACTTGGTTTGGTGTAACAGAAGGATAATTAAAAATTTGATTGAGCTACATGATGTATGACTAAGAAAAATTACACTCTTTGCACATTGTGTATTCTTATATTCCTCTATATGTATATAAGCATATACAATGTATAAAAATTGTGATTACATATATATGTGTACATATATGCTTACATAGATATATAGGGATATCTACACACTTTTTTTTTGGTTTTTTTTCATGTAGTTTTCATGTCTTGCATATACCATCATGCATCATTTACCTCTTACCGGAGAAACATTTTGGAAAAGTTGGTGTTCTTCCCTCTTTAGGTCTTCTGAGCAGACATCCAGCATTATACATTGCTTCCCTTCTGAAATAAGAGAGAGATCAGCTGTCCAGTAGTTCTCAGTGTTCCTGGGTTTAGCTCCTGCACTAAACCCTGACTGGGTTTAGTCATTGTCATGTTTTAAGCCCACCCAGTTGGCAACAAAGAACCCATGCAGCTGTTCATTCAATCCTACCCCTCTCTGGTAGAATGGGGAACAGGAAAATACAATAAACAGCCTGAGTGTGGAGGGTGGACAGGAAGGGCTCATTCACCAGTTATGGTCATGGGCAAAAGACAGAAGACTTGAGGTAACAAAATCAATTTAATTTAAACAAAACCACCACCAGTTCACCAACTGAATCAGAGTAGGACAGTGATAAATGGAAACCAGATCATAAATACACAAGTGTTCTGACTTGGAGGCAGGGGAGATTCTGGATGCTTCTTGCAGGAGCCACATGAGTAGCACCACACACACCACCAAGACCCCACCAGGCACAAGCCCAACACAGTCACTGGGTTTGCAGTTCTCTGAGGTTCACATAGCTGTTTCTGTATTCTGTGAGGAAAAAATATGTTGAATTTCTGAAGATTCAGAAAGTAATTTTGTTTTTTCTACTACTTCCCAATCATTGCTTTCAAGGTAGTTTGTTAGGTGTTCCACTTTCTTGGGTTTGTTGTGGGTAGCATTGTAAGAAAGTCCTACAAGACAACAGAGCAACATTTTGAGGTATAAAAAAACTAGCAAGTTACAGGTTGGAAGTTTTTAATCCCTGATGGAAGTAATGTTAATTTGTCACTATTCAGGTGATCCACTGAAATATTATGGCTGAGTTCTTGTATGTAACTTGCTCACAGTGTGATTTTATATAGTTTCTATAAATTAAAAACTCCTATAAATTCTTTCTGTGAATAGCTGTCCAGAGATTTTCTTATGTCTCTATCTTGGATAGTCAAGAATAAGTCTGTTGCAGTTTTAGAGTTTTAGACATTCCACAATTTCCCTTAGTTTGTAAGTACTTCTTATTTCATTTACTTTCATTTTCATCTGAACAGATTTTCACTTCACAATTGAAATTTAAGAACTAAAGACTTCATCTTTTACAGACGTGAACATATTAGTCTAACTCACTAAGCCTTGTCTCTCTTTTCTGAATTTTCTATGAGATTGTAGTCTTCTTATGTCTAAGGCTCTATCGTAATTCTTTAATTTGCTTGTTGAGAAGCTTTCCCTCTCTTTACATGACTTCATATTGTTATCATTCAGACTACATCTTTTTTTTCTTAAAAAAATACCTTTTGGTTTAGTATTTTATACAACAGGTAAAAAAAAAAAAACAAACAAAAACAAACAACAAAATAATTTTTCCCAACCTTTTCTATGATTTTGCTTTGCTTCAACCTTTATTTACCACATTGCTACCTCATCAAGGAACTTCTGTTACTGATCTTCCCAACTAGTCTTCTTGCAAGTAAAAGAGGAAGAACAGTTAGAGAGAATGATTCAGAGGAGAAATAGAAGCTGAAAGTGGGAGGTAGGAAGATGGCTTTTTTTGGCATGTTAAAAATAGGTGTTTTCCAAATAAATATTTTAAACTGTACTGCATTCTAGAGAAAGGCAAAACAACATAAAACTATGGAAGTGGATTGTTATTCTTTCATTGCTGTATTCTGTGAGCTGCAGAAATACAAAGTACACTGTGCTTATTATGCTTTTACATACATGGTGATGAGAGACAGAGTGCCAAGTCCAAAACTGCGTTTTATTATCAGCATCTTTAATACTGTGAAATCTCTGAATGACAGCAGTATATCAAGCCAATACTTTAGTAGATTATTAACTACTTTAATAGACAGAATTTTATCACAGCTATTCTTGACTTTGGGTCTGTGTTTATTTTTTTCCTCTGGTCTTACTGTTTCCATCTCTTAATGAGAGGGCAGATGTTTGGAATAAAGTAGACAGGAGTTCAGAATGGGCTATGGACATAGCTGTTTATTTCATACAATCTGTTGAAAGTGAAGCCAGTATGTGGATTTTGTGTAGATAAATTATAGACGTGTTTGGTTTTTTTCATTGGTTCTTTACCTTTTATGACTGCAGCTTTGTCAAAATTTTCTGTGCTGCTGCTGCTTTTCTCAGAAGGGTCCTACGGATCCTAGGTCTTGTCAGATGACTGCACCGGGTTGCTTCAGTAAGCAAATTAGTCTTTATTAAGCAGCTCAGCTCCCCTGTTTCTCCTTTCTTCTTTTATTTTGCAAGCAGTTTTGAGAATTCAGGCCACAATTAATTTATAACCTTTTCTCCATGTAACATACAAATAAGATTGTGCTTGCTCCAACTACCACTACTTGATTGTCATAATTTTGGCCTATTTCCTGTGTTCAATTGCTTCTACTATGTGAAGCAACGTTAATGTAAGTACTGCTTAAACAACTCATCCAAATTAAAACCCACAGGGTTAGCAATATGTATAAAGACCACTAAACTTAAACAGAATCCCTTTCTCTTAGGAATGAAAATAGAGAGGAAAGCAGGAAACCAGAGCTGCCCATGCCTAGTCTTGGGGTTTTTTAAGTCCATGGGAGTTTTGCCACTAGTGTCTGTGGAGCAGATTCAGGCTACTGCATTCTGTGTTCTTGGGTGCTGTGTTGCTAATGGAAAGTTTAATGGATTTGGATAAAATTTAAGCTAATTAGGTTGTGTAATACTTTTAGACAGGAGTTAGCAACATCAGAGCAGCATAATTTTGCTTTTGTAGTCCTAAGTATCATCTTTATCAAGTAACATTAGGCTTTTGCATTCTTTGTAGTTTACTTTAAATTATTTGTTACAAAATTATAATGCTATTCTTGTTATAAATGGACACACCTGTGATACTTACTCCTATTTTTAAAATTTTCCTCATTTCTATTGGTGAGGTTTTAAAAACAACTTGGGCTTGGCTAACCTCTACTCACCCCAAATTCAACTTCAGTGTTACTGAAGACAGTAAGGAACAGCCTTAACCAATGCTGACCAACATTTTAAAATGCCTCATAATGTGTAGATTATGTGTAATATTTCTGCTCGAAAAAAATGACCAACAAAGAGCCAAGCAGAAAAGTGCAGGTTTCTCCACAGTGCCTTGCTGGCATCTTGTGCCCATGACCTGTAAAGAAAGCCTTCATCACAGACTGAGGAATTTGGGAATTCCTCCCCAGTGACTGAAGGATGAACCTTTCTTAGTATCCTTATGAAGCTGCCTGCTCTTGGTCCAGATTCCAATGACTTCCTTCATCTTTCTACTGACTGTAACTGGATTTAGTGTAGGCCTGACTTTGATACCATTTTTAGCAAAGTAGTGTATAGATAAGTGGGGGGTTTCAGTGCTGTTTTTAAACATAGTTCAAGCATAACCAAAAACTAACTTCAGCAAAGACCAGATGTTGAAATGCGAAGTGTTCTAGCCCTGTTTTGCCTTTCTGCTACATTTTCTAATAACTACTAATCTTCATACCAAATCATCACATATATAAGTGCTTTCTGTTGAAAAGCCATAGTTGTTTGTTTTGATCTACAGCAGATCTGAAAGGAGGAGCGAGGCCCAAGGACACAAGGAAAGGCACAGAGATCTGACAATACTGCTCACAGCACTGTTCTGATAAAATGGCCATCAACTTAAAAGGAGGGTTTAGGGTGCTTTTGTTTTTAGTAGTTCAAAAAGAAGCTGCAATTTTTTGTTTTGTGTCCTAAAGTCTCTTTTTTTTTTTTTTTTTTTTGATAACATCACATTCTGCTGAGAAAGGAACCTCTTAATCCTTGGCATTACTTTGGATGTATTTGTTATGCCTGATCCCACTATTTGCTCTCTGTTCTGAACATTTTATTGGTATCACTGCCAAAATCTCTTCAAGTAAAAGTTTATCCAAACTCAGATGATTTTGTGAAATGCTTTTAATTTCCCCCTGCTTTCATATTTCTTTCTGTCTCATGCTGCATGTTTTCTAAGATTTTTCCTGTTTGTATTGCATCTTCACTGAGTGACTTACGCAATAGTCAGCTCTTGTTTTGTCTGTCCAATTAATGTGAAGAAGTTAGTCGTGTTTATAGGTAACTATGTCGGTCTACCCATGCTGCCAGTCTTGACTTACAACTACCCATTGCTGCTTGTCCTTAAAGCCAACATAAGATCAAGATTGGTAAAGAATTTAATGCCGTCATCTTAAAGCATTTTAAAATATGGCAGGGTAGTTATGAATTAAATTCCCAGTGACTTTTAGCGGAAATTTAGATTCCCTGTGTACAAAGGTACACACCCGCCATAAGTACAAAGGTGCTTTAAAAATTATTCCTTATATACTTTAAATCAAGTAACATTAACTACAAAAGAAATGGATAGTGATTTGTCAAACAGTTTGACAACCACAATAGTTAAGCATCGTTCAGCCTGTCTAGTAGAACAGAAATGAGAGGAGAAATATGCGTTGCTAATTATCAACCAGGTATCTTCAGGTATGAGACAGTCTGTGCTGTACATTTCGCATGGTTTATTAATCCTCCCTCCAGGCTCCTCGCATCATGAGGGAGCCCACAGCCCGTGTGTAGGCACACTGTCCTGGAATAGCTGTGAGTCACAGTGCCAGAGAAGAAAGGCGGCTTTGTGGTGCGCACCATGGCAGCGCAGCCGCCCCCGCTGCCTCCTGGGCCTCTGATGAGGACACAGCTTCCTCAATTCCTCTCTCTGAGCCAGCTTAGATTGACAGACCAGGACAAAGTGGGGTAGACGCTGGTATTCCCCTGCTTACTCCTGCTGTCAGCCTTTCAGTTGAAGATAAGAGAGGCTTAAATACTTACCCCCAATTTGTTTACCCATATCACAGTCAATTTTTTTTTAATATCGACAGCAGTACCAGTTACTGTAAGTGATGTATAATTTGTAATTGATGCTGCTATGAGAATCTATATTCTTTTATACAGCGTACAAGAAAAAGTGTAAGGTTGGGTGTAGCAAAGCCAGTGACACCAGCAGAGCATGGTAACATTCCCATTTATTTGACTGTTGTCCTACAGTTTCTAAAACAAGGATTTTGTTCTTCACCATTAAAAAGTTTTCCTTTGGAGATCTGAGTGTGACAAAAGTGGAAGGAAGAGCTCAGCTTCATACTGCATCTGATGTCAAGTTAAAAGGTATTTATTTACTCTGGGAAGCTAGCATGAGTCACTCTGAAAAATTTATAGAAATTGATTTCATCATAATATGGAACAGGCTCTTGGTATACGTGACTTCTGCTATAAGGATTTCTCAGAAAACAAATAGCCAAGTGGTTTAGCGTATAATTTTTATCAGTGCTTCATTATCAGTACTTTTCTCCATAATTGTAACCAATTCTACCTCATGTATCATTATCCCTTCTGTTTTGTTGCCCTTACCCCTATGCAGAGTTATGGGTACTAAATATCCTTTTGGTTAGTTGGGAGTCCTGCAACAGGCAGCACAGCAGTAGTGGTTACTGTTCACTTATGACTTCTGATTTGCAGCCAAAGTGTTGAGGTAGGGAGCGGCATCAGTATATTAAGTTTTCCTCTTCTGAAGTAAAGGGAACAGATGAGTGAAGCTAGAATCTTTTAGGAAAGATGGTTAAGTGCCAGGAGACTCTGGGGCTGAAGTACTGGAGGGCTGAAGGAACTGGCAATCCTGTAGGCAATTTCCATACTTCTGCTAAAAATAAATGCCATAATAAGCTCATGCCTTGTAATATGTCTGAAGTATACAGCAAAAGCCTACCAATACACATCCACCCTACTGAGGCTATTGCCATATGTTAAACACTCCACAGAGACCAAAGGGATGTTAGTAGGAACTCAGTATCTCTGAGAGCAGGGCAGGAGCATCCCAGCCAGGGATAACCAGAATTTCTCTGCTAAAATACATCAACTGGGAAAAACACAAGCCAAGCCAACAGGTAGCCACATATTTATCTTCTTCTCCAGCAGCATGTTACCAGTAAAGCAGTGGATATGGCAAGAAAGAAGTATACCAGTGTTCAAAAAAACCAACCAACCAAACAAGCAAAACAAAAGAAAACAAAACAAAATGATAATTAAAAACCAAGAAACAAACAAACAACAAAAACAAACAAACAAACAAACAAACAAAACAAAACAAAACAAAAACAGCCAGGGACTGTGTATATTTATTGACTTATTTCTTTACATTTGCAATAGTAAAATGTCTGGAATGCGTGATTTCTTTATGAGCTTTGGTCTCTGCTTTTATTATTTTTTCCTAGCCTGAGAGGTTGTTTACTGATGCTAACTCTTTTATATGCCATTTCACTAATGAGAGTACATCAGAATTGTTGGTTGGAGTTATTCAGTTTTCTGAATGATGTCTGAAAGAAAAAGGGTTAAATCTGTCATCTAAGAGCAACATCTATGCACTAAGCTGTAGTTTTATACTGTACTAGGCACCTCTGGAAAGTGCAACTCTGAGCTGTCATCATGGGGATATCTCTTTGGAAGATTTTTGGAAATGAAGTCCTGGTCTACCTAGGAAGGGGAACCTGAAAACCCTGCTAGCCCTCTCCCATACTGTCACCCTACAAGATTTTTTCTCCAGTTCTTCTTCAAGTAGACTGCAGGACCGTTTAGCTCACTGCTGCTTTCTTGCACCGGGGTCTGCCGGTGAAAGCCTCTCTGTTTGGTGTGTGCCCTACTCACTGTATGTGTGCTGGCAGTGCTGCCACTTCCCAGGCTGCCAGGAACTGCTCACACGCTGCGAAGGTCTGTCTTTATTCAGGCTGCTGTGTATCCAAGGGCAAGGCTAAGATGAAGACAGCCTAAAGCAGGATTGCTTTTTCCTTTTTTCCACATTTTGGCTCCCATGGAGATCCAATGTTCCATGCTTCGGTGGCGTCACCTCCTACTAGCCAGAGCCAAGCAATGCTCTTGGGTACCAATATATTCTCCAGCTTGTGTTTTCTGTGTCCCAGGAAGAAATTTTTGAGCCTTCCACTCTGGGCTTCTCTCCTATGTCCTGCCAGAACTGCTTTTCTGTTCATTATTTTCCTTCCAGAAAAGTAATGTTTTTGGACAAGGGTGGGGACTGTTTTATTTCTCTCACAGGAAAGAGAGCTGGGCACTTTGAACTACTTCTTTTGCCCAAGAAAGTAGCAGTGGGCTACAGTACAAAACAGCTATTACTGCTCAAACTTGAATTACTCATCTGAGCAACTAGACTTTCCTAATTAGGACTAAAAGTTTCAGAAGTGTGTCAGAGTGTTTTTCACTTCATCAAAATTTAGACATTTAGATGTTGGGCCTATGTTCTTTGTTAATCTTCCAGCCTTCCTCTGCAGTCAATGGACAGATAGAGCCTCTGGAGGATGACTTGTCCCATCCTGACAAGTTTTGTAAGCTCTTAAATTCCAAAGCTATCAGCAGCCAGATTTTTAAATTTAATTAGGGCCCGTTTAGGACTCACAACACACAACTTTATGCTTGCATCTTTTAAAATAATCTAAATCTTCTGAAAACATTTCCTAGCTCTTTTGATGAGATGCTTCTTTAACTAGAGGATGAAATTTCCCAACCGTACTTTCTTGTCGTGGCCCTGTATATACAAAACTAACAATTTACAGGTAATGAGCAACATTGTCTTGGTGACGCTGTTCCATGCTCAGAAAATCAGAACTTGTCAGATATTTTTATTTCCACACATTTGGCCTCTGCTGTTCTGACTCAAACACTCAGATAACTTTCCTTGCAGTTTTGAGGTTTTGGCTCTTCTGGTTTATAATTCTACCAATAACATCAATTTAGAAGAGGAAGATATCCGACAGAAACTCATAAATAATAATGGGACCATGGAAGGAGGATATAAGCTTCAAACTGTGGCTGTTGATCCAGTGGGTAAGTAGTTTTTGGCATTGTTACAGAACAGATCATTTCCTTGTCCATAAATAACAATCTTCTGTGTTAAAATAATGACATATTTCCAAACAGTATGACTGTTTCAGGTTTTAAATTGTCCCTTTAAGTTTCATTGTTCCACTAATCTCAGAGAGATGTGCTCAAGATACCTCTTTTAACACAAATACAGTTGTCCAAACAGCTTTAGTCAGTGTTTTGCTGTCTGATTCAAAGATGCTGGGAGAATTCCTGACAGCTCCTCTGGTAGTTTGTGGATAATGAAGTATGGTTTACAGCCAGAGCTATAATGATATTTTGGACCTCCAAAGCCCCACATGCCCACTCCTCAACCCTGTTGTTTGTGGTCCTGCCAGCTACTGACTTCAGTCAATCTCCTTTTAGCTCTCATCTTTTCCCATTCAAGGTCTTCTAGTCAGAGGTTGCCCTTCCCTTGGGAAGGAGAAGGTGGGGGGCTGGTGGGGTGCAAGTGGATGCAGCATGCATATCAATTCATTCCCTCAAGCAGCAGTGTATGTTGCCCTCTGCTGTGCACCCCTCCAATCTCTACTCTATAATAGATATACAACCAAGCATTTAATTTGAAGACAGCTTTGTGCTGTAGACTGGTTGATAAGCTGGGGACAAGAAATGGAAGGTGATTAGATGAAGAAATTTAGCATTAACTCTAATATACTTTTATTTTTACAGAAAAATGTTTAGCTGAAGAAAACCCTCCAAACTATTTTTGGCCAGATACCAGACCAACCGTGACTAACTTCACATTATGCCATGGGAGCTCAGTTCAGACTGCATCGAGAACCTGGTAGGTGTTTAAATATCTGAGAAGCTGAGATCTTCAAATGCAACTTTCTGGTTATATAGTTAAATTGCATCCTCCATAATGATTGCCATTGTCTGGTGCTGTATTTCAAGAAGATCATTTCTACGTCGCAAGAAATTATGTGTGTGCACAAGAGTATGTATTTCATTGTTAAGAAAGTAAGGTTCAGCTACCACTTCTGTATGGTATATTGAGGCCCTCAATTAATACGTGTTCAAAGTGACTATAAAAATAGCACCTTCTTACTTGATGAAAGAAGGCTTTCTTCAAGGCATGATGTTTAGGTTACCAAAAACAATGTTTCACATATGCTACATGTCCACTTCTCGTATCTGACTTGTGTAAGTAATTCTCAACAAAATTCTATGAAGATGAGATGTGTATTTGGTTTAATTCAGAACCTCTCATCTCATTAAGGGAAAGTAAAATAAATTCTGTGAAACGAGCACTTAGTTAGTCATAATTGGAGGTGGGGATATCCTTATGCTTAGAGACTTGAACTTGTATTTTTAAGGTTTATGAGAAATTTTTCCTAATGTAGGCTTTCTTTGTGAGCATCAACAAAAGATTTAGACACTGTATCTGTTTCCCATTTGTAAAATGGGAATATTATTACTTCCTTTTATATATTACTAAAACAATATAGCTTTGATCCCCTTTGGGTGTCTTGAACATAGCTATGGTGATGTAATATTAATTAATTCCTTCAGTATTTAGGATGATCACCATTAAATGCAATATAGTAGTCTTATCTGACCACATTGCATTTGGAACATGTTCTGAGAAGACCAGATCTTTTACTTTTTGAAAACAATATGGCAACAAGGATATGAATCAGCTTTGAGGTTCTGTGCCAAACAGGAAAGCAACCAGCATTATATTTAACTAACTCACTTCCTCAGCCTCTTATTCTTGTACAAGAACTGCTGGATTTTGATTGGCCAACTTGTAGTGCAAAAGTCAAACTGTTTTTATGTCAGAGCCTCAGAATCACTAAAAAATTAAGGCTTCTGGCCTTTGCTGGCTGCTCCAGATTATCCATGGACAGCACCTTCATAAATAAAGTTACTATGTTCTGCACTATGCTTTCCTTGCCTCTGCCTCCTTTGGCTGTTGCCAATAGGGAGCACAGGCAGGATGTGTTTTGAAATATGGTCTCTTCTAGCTCTGTGCATACCACGATAGTGCATTGTTATAATAAATTTGATCAACTAAGTAATAAGTTTATTTTATCATGTGCTGAGTGAAAGGATAATTTTTTCCCATTCTCCACCCTGTCTTTGCCATGCTATGATAACATGATTATTTTTAAAGAAAACTGAGGAAAAAGTGTGTTTCATTTTGGAGCCATATCTGTATATTTTGCTATAGTAAGGCTTTTTTAAAAAAAAGCATTTTGAAAAAAAAAAATCTTTATATCTGCCCCTCACCTTGGACCTGGATTTGATGATGTCCTGCCTTAATTTTCATGAGTAGCATAAGTTTATATCTCCACATAGCTCTTGTGCATGTTTTTCTGAGAGTTATTACATCTCACTATTGATTTGATCAAAGGAATTTATATCAAAAGAAAATTATAGAAACAGCATCTGTTTAGGCCATAATAGGGGTATAATAGTTTGTGTCAACATTTGGATGTTTCCTGAAGTAGAAGGCCAAAATTCCCAGTGATGCAGTTCATCAAATCAGTGTAGGAATCAGCTGTGTATTTGTTCAAAAGAACTAGAGGTTCTCTTAGTACTGTTACTTAGTTGATGACATATTTCCACTGTCAGGCATACATATTTCATTTCACTGGGGACCATGTTGCCAGGAAAATTGTGAATTGAGGACAGTGGACCACGCTGACACCTACAAAAGAATTATTAAGTATTTACATAATTTTGGTATTGTATTTCATTAATTTTGTTGTTTTTCCTCTTTAGCTATTTGGGTTTGCAGAATTATACATCATACTGGGGCCAGCCTGATCTTAGAAATTGCACAGGTGGGTATATTGAAGTTGGTATTTGGCTAAAGGAATAGTTTTGTAGACTTTGGTTTCTGCTTATTATAAGAAAGTTAAATTAAGGAAGAATATTTTTCTCCTTTATGCCTAGTTGTCTAAAAAATTTATAAAACATCCGTGCAAAGTAAATATCTAAACTCTGGGGAACTGGACCAAGATGAAGTCAGCCCACCCATGAAAAGCTCTGGATACCCATTAATTAAATAAATCAAACTCTTCAGGTAATTTAAACAAGAATAGAGGCAGGTAGTAGCTTGCATCAATGTGATATTCAGGTTCAGACATATTTCTAGATGTTTCCAATGCCTGTAGGTGCCGGTGGAAAGACTCCCACTCTCTTCACCAGGCTTACGATCAGACATTTTCAGTTTTTTTCTCAGTTTGCAAAATACCCCTCCATGTCATTCTGGCCTGAAAGGAATAATAAAATAAATAGACAACAATTTATGGCCTCCTTCTTTTACTGCCAGAGCTAGTGATGAAAAAGATAGTCCCTTAAGTAATTTAGAAGACCTACAGTATGGTTCTGTTCTGAATTGCTTTCTTGGAGAAGCCTCTTTTTCTTTCTGCACTGCTAGAGGGGTCCTAGGGAGCATGGCTACGTAGCTTGGTTGAGTGATTGCAGTCAGGCTATATGAAAACATCATTTCATGTAAGAAATTCTACAGTAAATGCAGCAAAAGCTTTATTACAGAGTACAGCATTAAAAAAACACAGCCAGTTGCATGCTAAAGACTGATATTCCAAAATCTTATTTGCAAATTCCAATAAATCTCACATATTTTGATGCTGTAAAATGTTAGTGTTCACATTAGTTTTCCATCCAGGTGGCAGGAAACTTAGAGTTTAACGTGTCTTTTGCGCTGACATTTTGCCATTGTACACACTATTCATCTTTCTTTACAAGGAAGATTCTTCTCATGAAATTTGCTTGTGTTTTGTGCTTGCCAGCCTTCTGAGTAAGAGTACGATACTCTGAAGGAACTGAAACATTTGCACTGAGGTCAGACTATCTCCCCAGAGCTTAAGAGAGTGAATACTTTGTCAGTAATGATGACTTTGGATGCATTTGTTTCACTTCATGAGTGAAACTGGTATTCCCAGTGAAAAACAAAGGCTAGCGTAAGGAGAAAAAAAGAAGATGTGCTTTTTATTCCTTATTTCCCCTTTTTTTCTTACAATCAGCACTTTCAACAATAGTTCCAATTTACAACTCAACTCAAATTAAGGAAAAGACACAGGCAATGAGGACAGTATATAACAATCAGCAGTTTCTATATACCTTTTCATACAATTATAAACTTATTAAAATTTTATATTAATTACAAGTACCACAGCACATGCTCTAGCTTTTAACAATCACAGAATGTTAGGGGTTGGAAGGGACCTCCAGAGATCATTGAGTCCAACCCCTCTGCCTGAGCAGGACCATCTAGTCTAGGGCAGGTCACACAGGAACGCATCCAGACAGGTCTGAACAGTCTCCAAGGTAGGAGACTCCACCACCTCCGTGGGGAGCCTGTTCCAGGGCTCTGTAACCCTTACAGTAAAGAAGTTCTTCCTCATGTTGAGGTAGAACTTCCCATGCTCCAGCCTGTGTCCATTACCCCTTATCCTATTGCAGGGCATAAGTGAGAAGAGATTGCCCCTTTGTTCTTGGCACTGAGCCCTCATATATTTATACACATGAATTAGATCCCCCCTAAGTCTTCTCTTCTCCAGACTAAAGAGCCCCAGGTCTCTCAGTCTCTCCTCATACGACAGGCATTCCAGTCCCCCAGTCATCCTCCTAGCTCTTCGCTGGACTGTCTCCAGTAGATCTCTGTCCCTCTTGAAATGGGGAGCCCAGAACTGGACACAATACTCCAGGTGTGGTCTCACCAGGGCAGAGTACAGGGGCAGGAGGACCTCCCTTGTTCTGCTGCATACACTTTTCTTAATGCACCCCAGGATCCCATTGGCCTTCCTGGCCACAAGGGCACACTGCTGTCTCATGGACAACTTGTTATCCACCAGGACTCCAAGGTCCCTCTCCACAGAGCTGCTCTCTAGCAGATCACCTCTTAACCTGTAATGATGCACTTTATTACTCCTGCCCAGGTGCAGGACTCTGCAGTTATTCTTGTTGAAAAACAATGACAAAAATTTGTATTTTTGAAGTATTTTGAGACTGATATGCATTATTTTCTCTTTTTACTTCATTTTATGTGTAAATTTACAGAAAATGCAGCTGATATAGCCAATCAGCTTTTGAATCTCACTGGTGAAGGGCAGCAGCTAACCTCAGACAAAGTAAATGATGTTGTGCAGAAGCTCAAAAAAATTGTGAATGATGAAGAAATTGATGAGTCTCTGGGTTCTACTGTGGTGACAATTTTTTCCAATATTCTAACCAGTTCAGACAGTGTATTGGCAGCATCATCTTCAGAGTAAGTACTTCTGCATTTGAGACAAGCTTTTTTAAGGCAACCAACAAGGTTGGAAGGATTCACCCTTCCATACATAGACAACTGCAGTACAAAAATCAAACTTTTCTGATTTCCATCAAAAAGAGTTTCCCAAATTAGATATACAAATATTTCTTGTTATTCTAAAATGCATGATAAAGTATTTGGATGGAAGTCTCCTGATACATGACACAGCAGAGATCTCAATATTGTTGGAAAATGATTTCAGGACCAATGATATGTAGTCAGTTTCTGTCAGTCAAAAGCATTTGTTTTCAACAGAGATGCATAAGTTTACAGCCTGAGAGCCTCCTTGTGAATACACAGATGGGTGACAGAAACACAGTCAGCAACAGGAGATTTATCTTAAATGTGGACAGCATACAGAACATAGTTGGTTTGTTTTGGTTTGTGTTTTGGGTTTTGTTTTTTTTTTTTTTTTCTGTATTCAGGTTTTAGAATAGTTTTTTTTTCTGGTTTTAGAGCTCTAAAAACTATTGATGCCTTGGCTTTAAAGATCCAGTTCACTGGACCATCCATGAGTATTTCAACACGAAACCTTGCACTTGGAGTATCTTCTATAAACTCAACTTCATTCCAAGGTGGCTCTTTCAGTGTCAGTCCACAGAATAATGCATCTGATTTCCAGGTACGGAACAAGCAATTGTATTTGAGTGTGAAATGTGCTGGTTGTTCCAAGTGTGTTTACTGTAGTTCCTATAAAACCACTTACAGCTCCCAATTCTCTCCCTACTTTTGATTTCCTATTTCCTGCAACCACCCAAATAGATTAATGTAGTATTTCCTTTAGTGACAGGAAATCCAGATAAACTCATGTTGCGTACGGACTAAAAGTAATTTACTTACAAATTTTACTTTGCAAAATTAAAATAGACTTTATCCTTTTTTTTTTTTTTTCTTTTCTTCACTTATGAAAAGTGGAAATAATCTATTACCCACTGTACACTAGCTAAAAACTTCATTGCTGCAGTTCAGGTTTAGAATAAGATGCCTAAATCTGTGTTTCTACATGCAAATTTCTGCAGATGTAACGGGTCTTCAACCTTCCCGTGTCATTTAAACACCTACTGCTAACAGAGACCTAAGGCTGATCCAGTTATTCACATGTAGGTTGATAAACTTGTGCCATTTGGAATGTCTGAGGTGGTTCAAAACATTCATGTGGAGCTCGACAAGCCTAGACATGAAAAATAAAAGAAACACAGTTCACTCAAAATACAGAATGGTCTCCAGTGCTACAGTATCAGGAGAGGTTGATATAGTTAGGATGTTTCTCACCACCTCAAAAATATTTTTTCTTTTTTTTTTTCACAAATAAAAAAGCTCAGACATCTAAAAGCTATCAAATAGCATCTGAGATGCGTATGAACACCTATTAGGATATTCCAAAGTTTCTGTTGAAATCAGTAGCAATGAGGTGCCAAGACTTTTAAGATTTCACTATACACATTTTATGGCACCTAAAGGGTTTTTGCAAATGTAGTGCAATGTGAGGTTTGGTTTTTTGTTTTTTTTTTTTTTCACAGTTATATAAGTCTGTGACAGCAGTAATGTAATCTCAGTTTCTAGTGAGTCTAACCATTCAAATATAGTGAGCCTTACTTAGAGGAAAACACAGAAAAGCTTAAACAGAAAAGTTAAAAAATCTACTATCATTTTGGCCAGTGGAACCAAAACTGAGTTAAAACAAAACATGGCATAGTGAAAATGGTTAAAGACTAATCACTGGAGTGTGAGCATCTAATGGAGCCAAATTAACTCCTGCTTCAAACTGGCAAGACAACAATCCTAATAAATGTCTGATCTTTCTATAAAGTACTATGTACTGTAAAAATCAAAACCAGTAATGAAGACTGCTAGAAAATGTAGTAGTAATGTAATAGGCTGCAGGCCTTTTACATGCTGTGCATATAGACTTTGGATCTCAAATGCTAGTTTAAATAGATTCACATGGATTTAATGTAATTGAGTTTTTGCGTACTTACATTCAAAGGCATTTTGGTTAAAATTTCTTTGAAATTTTTGCTGATTGTAAATCTCTTTTGTTTACCTCTCTTATAAATAAGCTCAATAGCTGAGTGTTATCAAAGGAACGTTTCTTCTCCAGATTTCGTCCTGTATTTATGGAAAGAGGAAAGGAAAAATTCTGAAGCCAGGTTTGGGATGTTTGCATGTGTAATAAGAATTACCATCTGTGGACTGAGGACATCCAGGAATTTTCTTGCCCTGGAATCATTTGTTACAGCACTGTCTAAATAATCATAAAATCCAAACTCCGTCAAATTGTTTTTAATATTCCTATTGGAACATGAGTTTGTTCTCAGACTTTCACATTTCCAACAGCTGATTGAGAATTCTTAGCATCCTTCCTACCAGAAAAATCTGCAGCAGCTGTGGTCACCATTTATATTTTCCATGCCTATCAGGAAAGATACTTGCTATCCCTGCTGGAGGGACATTCTCCTGTGAAAGCCCAGGTTTTTCACCACTAATGTGGTGATCTATCCAGGCTCATCAGGGAGCATTAAACTCTTCAAGCTGTATGTCGAATGTTTCCAGATTTTATTTCATATTTTTTTCTTAAAGCAGATATCAAGCAAATGTATCCATGGCAATTTGGAAAGATTCTATTTCAGTCCCCTGTGTCTTTATATTTTCTTGCCAAACCTTTGACTAAGTTAGCTTATGGTGAATCATATTATTAAATTGTTCCTGTAATATAGCCATAGTTCTTTATAGAGGCCTCTTCCACTCTATTTGCTATACCTAATGGGTACTCTTTCTGGTTAATGTGGCAGCATTATCCTTTGAAAACCTTTTATTCAACTGCATTTAGCCCTGTCAGGAGATATCTATGAACCACTTCTTACTAATTTCCAGATGTGCCTGTTATTCACAGTAAATCAGTGAGAATCTAAAAGTTAAATAAATCTATCAGTAGCCTATGGCTTTTAACTTTCTGTTAGCTAATGGTGCCTTTGAAATCATATGTCTGATCTTGAGAGGCATATATACATGACCAAGTTGCTTCTGGAGAAGTCAGGAGTGTGAGTTTCCTCATCTCACAACAAAATTCTTAAATGCTTCTAGTACATAGCCCCTATGAGATGGCTTGCTCCCCTTCCTTTGATAGGTAAGGTGCCACACCTTGAGTATGGGATGGTGGGAGGGTGTGCAGTCAGGGCTTTCAGCTGTCCAACACATTGCTAGTATACATTAGTCTTATTGATGGCAAAAGGGTCTTTTTTGATAGTGTGATAGAGAGGAGACACTAATCATTATCTTAACATCTCCCTTTTGTAGCAGAGAAACTAGAAAAGCTAATAAGATAATTGATTCAGATGTGCAGATCAAGCCAAATAACACAACTCAAGAAAGAAGGATTCAGAGCAAATTTTTCAGTTCTCAGCATTGTTTGGTATAAGGAAACGTATCATGAAGGTTACTGAAAATTGTTATGACTGCCATTATTGCCATCTTATTATTTCCAAATCATCATTATGGCAGTGGAGAAGTTTGTTTGTTTTATCTAATACCTATTTGTAGCGGAAAGTTGATCTCATGCTGGAAGGGTGGGAAAAACCTCATAACCCTCTTTTTTTTTTTCAAATTATTTTTATTTCTATACTGCATCAACTCTTGCACATCTACCACTCATATTAATGTTGATTGGCTCTGGTCCCATGTTCAGATATCTTTATGTAAGGGTGTGAACCCAGTTGTGGACAATGGATGGTTTTCATTTTGTTTGAACTTGTTCTTCTGTTTGTTTGTTTGTTTTTTTTTTAATTATTTCTTTAACAGATAGATTTTGACAAGGATCAGACAAATGCCTTTGCTTCTGTTGTTCTGCCACCAAGTCTACTGAAGAATTTAAGTCAAGATGATTTTGAAGTTATATCGAGGGCTCAATTTACTTTCTTCAATAAAAATGGGCTTTTCCAGGTAAACTTTAAAGTGTCTGAAGTCATTTCAGTCAGAGTGAGACCAAAGCCAGATGCTAAAAGTTTCCTGTAGGGTAATCATTTCACAGTATCTCATTAAGTTATAGGAATGAGAAGGTGAGAGCAGATGTAGGCATTACAGACAAGATTATGTTCAGAGTGACAAAATAGTTAAAGTGCCCATATTGAATTAAAGGCAGTGATTTGACTGCAAATTCCTGTCACATGTGGGATAAAGTTTTTCTCAGGGTAATCTATGGAAAGCTATATCCCAGCTGCCTTTAGTTAAAGTAGCAAGGCTTCTTAAAGAGCCTAACTTCTGTTAAAATGTATTAATATAGGTCCTTGATATTCAGTGGAGCTGGGTTCTTTTCTTCCAGAAAGGAATTTGGCCTACAACACTGCCAAGTACTTTTTCTTTCTCTTTTCCTTAAAAGAGCTGGCTAGTACTCATACCCAGCTGACTACTTATATTCAATTGGAAACTCTGGGCTGATGGTCATTAGCCAGAGAACATTTAATTCTATACATCCTATTCTTCTTTTCATATATCTGTTCTTATAAGCATGCTGTATTTTAATATGGAATAAGGATAACAATACCTGAAAACTAAATGCACTTCAGGTAGATTTTCTTTTTTTTCTTTCTTTTTCCCTTGGACCCCATCACATGGTAATTATAAATTGTTCCTGCATAACAGATGCCAAAAAAATGAGGAAGAGTTCACAGCTTGGAAAAAACAACCAAAACCATACCTATTTTGAAAAAAAAAAAAAAAGAGCTAATTAAGGAGGAACCATTGTTTCATAGTGAACTGTAGACTGAGCCTCAGAAGATTTGAGTTTGTTTTCCCATTAGTATTTCAAGTGACCTTTGGCTCTTGTGCATCTGCAGAACTCTGTCATATTGTATTGTCCCCATATTATCGTTTTTATTGGCAGTGTATCCAGATTCTTCAGATAATCTAGGCAAGAAAATACCCATGACCCACAGTTGCCTTCTGAAATACACCCCAAAGTATCTTTAACTGTTTAAAATAGTATGCATTTTAAGCCTGCTTTTGAGAAAAACAGGATGGATATTTTTAATAAAGAAACCAGAATACAGATGTAGGCTTGTCATAATGGCATAAAATCATATAAAGTCAGAATGTGTCCTTTAGTGGTGCTAGAATGTATTTCTAAGGGATACTTACTAAGACAATGAAAAGCAAAAACTAGGAAGACCTGAGTCTGAATTTACAGTTTAGAATTCCTTTAATTTGTGAGTTTTTCAAAGTATTAATGTGTGACATTTAACACAATTCAAAATATTTAAAATTCATATTTTAGTAAGTCTAAAAAAGAAACAAATAGAGGCTAAGAATAAAGCCTAAAAATAAATTAATCCACACACCATCTCAAACCAAATAACTTTATCCATTATCCATTAATATAAAAGTACTTCATAAACATGTTTATCCAATTGCAATTAAAAAAAAATCTCTGTCCTGTTAGCTGTATTTCTTATAAGCATTCAACATAACAATGAAACATCATACTCACAGCATCAGAGTTGTTTTTTGTATTGCAATTGAGAGAATACTAGTAAGCTTTATTTTGTTATTCATTAAAATCTGAGGGCTGCATCACTTAGAAGACTATATGAAAAACTGATGTAAGCTAATCAGGGTGGCATTCGTTTCGCTAAAGGCAGCTCTGTTTAAGGTGCATACCTATGCCTGAACTGTTGCCCGTAATTTGCCTTCAAAGCCAGCCAATAGAAAAAAATTGTCACTGAGCACGGACAAAATTGAGGTGTGACACAGCTCATCCTAGTGCAGGAGTAGACATCAGTTCTTCAAACAAAGAAGCATAGTGAAATCCAAGAAACCCAAGCTACTAATGTACTGCTGGCAGACAGATGAGACAATGAACCTGTAAGAGATGTGAGATTTTCTGCAGTAACAGCTGGAAACTTGACAGGATACCTTAAAATCTCTAAAATGGACACTTAGGCAATCATATTCAATTTAGATGTATAGAATAGGTAAAATGGATTATGCTCTGGATGTGCAGTTTCCTTTCATTGACTATGTTAAGAAATGCTAGAATGGCTACTTCAGTTCTTTTTACGTGTCTAAAGTTAGGTTGGAAGGATCATCCTCATGAGTTCTGAGGCCATGAAAATAATGTGCAAATATGATAAGAATGTGAATTATAATGATTGTCCAGATTAGACCAGGTTTATCTAGTTGATGCTGGCCTCAGCATTGCTCTACTGTGTACCTCTCCATATTTTATTGGCTAAAAGCTTACCACCAACTTTAGCTGAGCAGAGCCCCACAGCTAAATAAGCAGTTACCTGTATTTTACTTTAATGCACACATTATTTCTAATATTTTCTAAGGACAAGTAAGAATATATCAAATTGACTTCCCTCAAGAGACCGTCTTATTTCTGGCTTTTTTTATCTGCCTGAGACAGAATCCACTGAAACCCACAGAAATCTGTCCAAAGGCTTTCATAGACTTTATCAGATGTTGAAAAGTAGGTGGTAGCCAAGAGGTTTTCTCCTGTTTGAAGGCTCAAGAAATGTCTAGAAAACTGCATTGTAATTCCTCTGCAATTTTTAAGCTTTTTTAAGAAATTGTCACAAAGCTCCAGTATAATCTGAAATACTGTGTTTGAAAACTCTTGGATATTTTTCTTAAGAAATTAAATATTCTTCTCAGAGTAAAGTGCACTTAATAACTAAAGCTATTCTGTCTTTCATGAGTGCTGGGATCTCATGAGCACAGTACTGAGCTGGTACCTGATATTTTGTCAGGCTGACAAAACACCTAGACTGAAGGAATCAGGAGCATTCAGGAGTTTGACAGTCCAGATTTTTGGAGGGAAAGTGAGTGGCAATAAACTGAATTTGACCTAAGATCTGCTGCAGGCAGTGACTAAGCTTCCCAAAAAGCCAACCAGGCATGTAACTATGAAGTTCTGAATAGAAGCTAATCAAAAGCAAATATGATTTCCAAAGCATTTCCATTTTAATAAATCATCAGTTTCCAAGGAAAACGTCTCTTTCAGGAAATTTTCAACCTGGTACTTTTTTCACTGCAGGTTACAAATGGTATTGCTCAGTGAGAAAATCAGTCCTCTATTTAAATTCTCAACAAATAAGATCTTGTAGAAAACATTGTCTCCTATTGTACAGAACATTTCTTTGAATTTGTTTACTATTTCTTTGTAATTCATTGTAAGATGGAGGATGATTTAGCAACTATACACAGAAGAGAGGTTATTCTCCAAAAACTTTGCATCTACTAAAAAGGATAGAGTTGACAGTCAGATAATAAAGCTAGTTCATTCTTGTTTAGGGAAATGAGCTAATCATATCATGGGTTGTTATCTGCTACATTGTTTAAGTTATAATTTTGTTGGCCTCAGATCTAATGATTAAAAGAGGAATTTATGCCTTCTAACCTCTGTCTGTAATTGTGCCTGTATATGTTTATGACTATAAAGAAAAATATACGGAAACTTCCACGAGGCAAACTCATAATTTGATTTTATAAACATAACGTTCTTATATTGCGTGATCAAAAGTGTAGAAATGCTGACAACTTATTTATTCTGGCACGCTGCAAAAATGAAACTCTGTACTCTGGCTTTTATGTTATGTGCTGTGTAAGCATTTATTATATTTTTCTGAATCTTTCAAAGGATGCAGAAAATCCTGCCAATTTGACCAGTTTTGTGGTGGCATGCAGTATCGGAAACATAACCATTCAAGATCTTCAGGATTATGTGAAGGTTACAATTAAGCATACCAAAATCCAGGTAAAACAAGACTGATTATTCGGAGGAACAGGAATGCAGATTATATATAGTAAAGACTATAAACTGGTTGATTTGTATGGATTTTAAGTAAGAACAGAAATCCAAATGGAAATAAAAAGAGCTAAAGCAAGTAAGAAAAAAACAGACAGGAATAATCTCTCCCCTGCTCACACATTCCTACTCCATTCATGATCTAACATTTATCTGGAAGACTATTGATTCTGCCACTCAGAGGCAATTTCTGTGACAGTAACTGTAGGCAAGACCTCTGTTCATGACCATGTTTGTGACCAGGGACACGATTTATTACGCTGGAACTTTACAATGCCTTAAATTCTTTGATCAAACATGAACTGCTTTGTTAACAGTTTCCCAAATTATTTCATTATTAAGTGGTTTTTCAGCAAAGGAAGAACAGACAGAACCACGTCAAAAGCTGACTATAATTAGTTTAGGGAAATATAGACCAAATGTGACATTCTGGTACATACTGTTTCAGTTAAAAAATGTGTGAGCTTGACTCTATTCTCAGATGTGTTGTCAATAGCTACTCCAAAAGAGACAACAGCACTAGAGAAGTTAAGAAAGACTGTGAAATGCAGCACATAAGTAAATTATGTAATTGTTTATGAGAACATAGTTTGTAATTTTCACAGTTTGATTAACTTTATCTTGCATTTAATTATAATGTCTATTTTAAGGCCAGGCAAAACAATCTCCACTTAAATTCAGCAGACTTTTGCACATTGTCAAGGCCAGTTACATAGAGGATTCGCTGAGAAGTCCGAAGGAAGTGAAGAGTAAAAAGTATTTAGACTCTGTAAAGACTTCATACTCATGGATGACTTTAGTGTAACAATAACAATTCACTATTCTGAGGATGTGGAAAAGGATCAGTGCAGAGAAACAGTGCTCTAGATTTTTCTAGATTTTATAATCTGGGCAGATCTGTCCTTCTAGCAGAATAATTTCTAATTTGACAGTAGGCAAAATTTCCACAACCCAAATGGTTTTTATTCTGCTCATTAAATGAAAAGATGAGTAGTAACACATCCATTGTAAATGGATGAGATTTATGTCTTGAGAGGTATACAAAGTCTACTTTCCAATCTTTTCTTAGGAAGACCCAAAGCCTACCTGTGTCTTCTGGGATATGAACAAAAATGGTGAGTTTAAAAATGCTGCCATTACTGTTATGTGGGGAATAAAGGTGTCTTAATTTTTATTGTCATAGTCTTGGCCATTTTCCTTCTTAATCAATATTTGCAGAATTAGATGAAATCTTTAGACTGTGTAATTTTTTCTGGTTAGTACATTTGCTTGTAACAGTAGATGTTAAATATTCTTTTTAAAAGTTTTTGTATGTACTGTTCTGTATGTCATAGCAGTTTTCCACTGCTGTGTGTATGTATAAATAAAACAATAATGCTGCTCACACACATGAATGGTTCTTAGCCATACTTTTAACTGGTCATTTTTTAAATGTTGGGTTATTTAATTGTGAGACTGTGCCTGTTACAAATCTCAAGCTGCTTTTTCTTCCATGAAAGATCAGGAACTACATCACACAAACTTCATCCACCTTGTAAATGGATGACAGTCAGCATGATGAGGTCCCATACACAGACACACATTAACAAGGCAGCCTTTTAGCCCATTCTTCATTGCTACTGCCTAAGCCATGTGTGATGTTATACTCAGGTTCTTCATCCTTTGCACAGACAATGCCATTCTTTTGGATGACTTTCCAGATCCTTCTGTTTCATAGGTCACTATTGCTCTTCTTTATGTTGAAACAGATAGCTGCTTCTTCACTCTGTCTTCAGCAGTAGGACTTTGGGTGGAGGGCTTTAGTACAGAGAGTCTTGCAAGAAATAATTTTTACCATCAAAAGTTGTACTTGAAAGCAGGAAATCCAGACAGAAGAACTGAAGAGAATGCAGAAGAATAAAAATGAAGGGACAAAAATAATCTAGTTAGTAAGCTAAAATTAAGAAGCACATTAAAGGAGAAACATACAGAGAGGAAACTATTCTCAGTGTCTGCTTGAGTAGGGGAGAGTTTTAAAGTGGGTTTGGAACATCTTCACAGTCTTTTGAGAGATTCTGTCTTGAATTTGAGGTAAAGTTATAGGGCAATTCCAATAATTTGCTGGATTTTGCCTGGAGTTGTGCAAAAACATCTTTAAAAGTTCAGAGAATATGAACTATTTAAAAAAAATAGTTCATATTTTATCAGGGAAAAATGAAAGAAGTAATCAGAAATATACATTTTAAATTTTAACATCTTACTTTAAAAATAATAAAATCTTTCTACTTATTTTTCAGAATGACTTTTTCAGGTGGGGCAAGTAGAGGCTAGTTTACTTCATATTTAAGGCCACAAAGGATCATTGGGATTGTCCACTCTGGCCTTCTGCATTACATGCTGCAGAGAGGGAGGATGACTCCTGGGCCATAAATGCTTTCATATGCCTGAGGTTATAGAGTAGGAGGGAAGCAGATGTCACATCCATCTGGTAAAAGGGAGTTATAAAGCCATCTTATTGTTGGGTAAAGCTATGATGTGTCTTAATGCATGAGCCATACAGTAGATCTTATTCATCTCTCATTAACAAAAAAGCTCCTTGCCTTTATTATAGATCTCCATCTATTGCTCCTGCTCAGTAGTCCATTACTGAGATACTCATCTGGTGTGATTCTCTGCAAAAACTAGGAAATCTGACACTTGCTTTTCTTCTGATTGTTTTTAATGTTCACTCATTCAACTGGAGAAGACACTTCTGCATTTTCACAAGATGAAGTGAGAAATGTGTTAAGAGGGAAGTTTGTGGGAAAGAATTGTTTCTCCTGTTTCATTTCCACAGGTGGCAATGGTGGCTGGAACCCTGTGGGCTGCCACGTGGATCCAGAGTCCAATGAAAATGAGACAGTTTGCTTATGCAACCACCTCACACACTTCGGGGTCCTAATGGTAGGCAAACTCACTGTTCACTAAGTTATCTTTCCTAGAAACTGCAATGCATTTTTGTTACTTGCTCTCACCTTTCTTACTAAGGTTATTCCTTTTGCACATGATTTTTAACAATTATACATAATTTTCCCCCCTTATTGTCAGAAAGTTTTCTATTCATTACAAAATAACTAGTGATAAGGATTCAGGAATGAGGTAATGAATAAAGTTAGTAATGAAAGTTTATTACTATTATTATGTTCTTTACAAGTGGCTAAATATAAAATAAAAAGTAAAATGTGCTCATAAGAGTACTCTAAATCTTGAAAATACTGTGCAACAAAAGACCTGTAGTTGATATTTCTGAATGATACCAAAATACAAATAGCATATTATAAACATCAAAATTCAAAGAAGTTGTATGAAAAAAAAACGTGTGGCCAGCAGGTTAAGGGAGGTGATTCTCCCCCTCTGCTCTGCTCTCGTGAGACCCCACCTGGAAAACTGTGTTCAGCTCTGGGGTCCCTAACATAAGAAAGACATGGACCTGCTTAAGCAGGTCCAGAGGAAGGCCATGAAGATGATCAGATGGCTGGAGCACCTCCCCTATGAAGACAGGCTGAGATAGTTGGGGTTGTTCACCCTAGAGAAGAGAAGGTTCTAGGGAGACCTTATAGTAGTCTTTCACTACCTAAAAGGGGCCTACAAAAAAAAAAAAAAAAAAAAGGAAAAGGGGAAAAGGATTCCAACAAAAAAAAAAAAAAAAGGATAAGGGGTAATGGCTTCTAACTAGAAGAGGGTAGATTTAGTTTAGATGCAAGAAAGGAATGCTTCACCATGAGAGTGGTGAGACACTGGAACAGATTGCCCAGAGAGGCTGTGGATGCCGCCTCCTGGAAGTGTTCAAGGCCAGGTTGGATGAGGCTTTGGGCAACCTGATCTAGTGGCAGATGTCCCTGCCCATGGCAGTGGGATTGGAATGAGATGACCTTTAAGGTCCCTTCCGTTCTAGGAAAGGTGGGATATGGCTGGGTGATAAAGTCAAGGACTGTAAAACCAAGGCCCGTTATGAACCCTTCCACTAGTGAAACAGAAAACGTTAATCTTAATGAGTCCTAAATTGCAAAGGGTCCCTGTCATTCACCTTAACAATGTAATTGGACAAAAATTACCTGCAGCTAAAACAGGAGGGTGTAACAAGAGAGAAGTGAATGAGAAACAAATCCAGGTAGATATGAAGTTACAATATTAGAAAAGTGGGAAGATGCAGGGGGAAAAAAAAAAAAAAAAAAAAAAGAGAAAAAGTTGAGGTGCTGTTTTCAGAATCAAAACAAAAAGAGACTCATATTGTCAGGGAAAACAGTCAGGAATAGAAAAATGTACTATAGCCACTAAAACTGGTAATGAGGACGAAAAGTCAAGAGAGCACAATAAACCCTCTAAAACCTACCTGTAGAAAAGATGTCTGCTCCTGATCACAAGAATTCTCCTAATGAAAGTATCTAGGGTTTTACTGCAGCGACACATGGGACTTAAGTATGCACAGGAGTCGCAAGCACTGACTGTTTCAGCTTTGGCCTTCCAGAGCCTTCTTAATAGAACTGCTCTCTTCATCATGCTCCAATGTACATATGAAAAACCCACAAGCTTCTTGTCTTTTTGCAAGCTAAATCATGATCTTGTTCTACCGTCCATCCTTGAAGGGAGGGAAAAAGGGCTTTCTTCAGGATATATTCAATGAGTCCCTTCTCTTCCCTGAATGCTTTTGTGGCAGTAGGACATAAGGCAGAAGTTGTTTGAATCAAGGCTGTGTTGCAATAGATTTTTACAGTTTTGACCCTTCTAATTGCTTTTGCATTTTAATAATCTTGTCTGACTTTAGATATATTCTTTTCAAATAACACTCCCTTCACATATACATAAACTGCCATATAAAGGACATTGGGAGAGGGTGTAAAAGAACTGTCTCTTTCTAGTTTTATTTTATTAGTTTCTTTTTGCTAGTTAATTTTACAAGAGACAATAGTGAAATTGAACGTGGAATGGACACCACTATGTGTTAGTATTTGCTCACAGTTACTCCACAGTGATATAGATTCAAACATTCGCATTTTTTGTTGTCCTTAAAGGAAATAACACTGGCATTTATTCTCAGACAGTACTATGTGGCAATTACTGTTGGATAGAAAACTGGGGGAAAAAAATCTTCAGAACGTTCCTGCTTCATTTCCAAATTTTTTTTTTAATGTTGTCTTAGTCACTGTTTTCCTGATCAATTCTATTTATAAACTATAGTTTGCATGTCAAAACAGACTGTAAAACCAAGAAGCAGTATCTTACCCTTGGTTCCACCCATAGGGGAGTATCTACATTGACTCTTAGGAACTTTTAATAACAAAAAGTGATGTCAGAATCTCCCCAGAATGTTGCACTTTCCAGTATGAATACTTTAAAATTACTTTTTCCTGAATCTTACATCTTCTTAAAGAGAGTTGTCTATAAGCAACAAAACTACTAATTTCGAAAAGGGGAGATTTTTCCAGAGAAGGATATTTAAATTCCTGGCACTGATTTATAAGGATCAGTATCATGCTCTGTTGATCCCAGCAGTTGTAATACTTAAAGTATAATGTTTTGAAGAGCTATGGGAAGGAAGTGAGAGGTGTAACGGCTATAGACTAAGCATACTCAGTAAACATGAACCATAATGTCAGGGTTATTGCAGGATTGCCAAAGTGCTTCTGAGTTTCACTTGACTAATTACCAGGAAAGTGTTGTGCTCATGGAAAAGGTATTTGCTGTAACTGTTGCCTCTTCCTCCTCTCTCATGTAGGACCTTCAGAGAACTGTTACACAAATAGACCCACAGAATACCAAGGTCCTCACCTTTATCACTTACATAGGCTGTGGGATATCTGCTATATTTTCAGCTGCAACTCTTCTGACATATATTGCATTTGAGTAAGTATTAGTTCTGCAAAAAATATCACAAAGTACGTACCTGTATGTGATGAATAAAAGAAAATAGTTATGTGATCAGTGTGGTTTATTTGTTTAGGAAGGGAAACTTTAAAAAAAATACCTCCAAAATCATTGTCACAATGTTCTAAATGAAAATTCAAGGGGACTTAAGATTCTTTCCTCCCACTTCCCATGTGTTGTGTTGCTCCAGCCTGGGAATAAGGCTAATGAGTCTCAAAGTTTTCTCTTTTGGGAGTATAGTATCCTCTAGATTCTGAACAAATATGAAAATTCACAACCCCAGGCTTTTTGTAAAAACAAAACAAAGCTTGCCTCTGTGAACATAATGGGTCCTAAGTTTAAGAAATTTCCAGCTACAACAATTACATTCTAGAGCCCTTGAGAAGGAAGTGGGAAAAGAAATAAAATTATGGTAAATTGTGAAGTGTTAGAACAATTTCAACAGTAGTCCTACTGAAATATGAAAGTTACTCAAGGGAATGCAGAAGTTTTGAAGTGATACACTTCTGTGAATAACAAAAAGAAAAAAATTAAGTCATGCCAACACAAAGAAACCATTCTGTCTGTATCAGGACAGGACAGAGTAGCTGCTAAAGAAGGATAGTTTTCAAGTTCTAAATATCTTCAGTGATTACATTCATATTGCATTACCTGTGGTGTAGTGTTCTGGTTCTCAGTTCATACATTTCAGTGTCTATCAGTTAGGAAGACTGAAGAACAGATGAATTTTCTCTTTATTAAAAACAAAAAAAAAATCACCAAAAAACATGAAACAGAAAACAGAGTGCACTGGACAATATATTCCAAAAATTAAATCAAGATTTACATATAAAATGATCAGAGATGAGCTTCTGATCAGCTGTATTTTGAAAGTTGTTTTAATTTTCTTCAATTTTCATTTAAAGTACAGAATGCATTGTATTACATTTAATTGTAAATCCATTGCTAAAATATGGTGGCAGTTAATTGTTCATTTAGGACATAAAGAAGTGGTGGCTTTCTCTCACCACATACATACAGCAGAAGCATTCAGTGATATCACACAGTAGTATGCATCACTATGTATTATTGCCCCAAAAGCTTACAGCTAGAAGATTCCTGTGCTTTTATTTACTTCATAAATACATAAATGCAGCCTCTGTAAGTAGCTTGAGTGATTGAATTATTCATATACTTATTCAATGCATATTCAATACTCTTCTATTTCTTTCACTAGGAAGTTGCGAAGAGATTATCCATCTAAAATTCTGATGAATTTGAGCACTTCCCTGCTCTTCCTTAACTTGATCTTCTTGCTCGATGGTTGGATTGCATCGTTTGACATAGATGGCCTCTGCATAGCTGTAGCTGCACTTTTGCACTTTTTTCTTCTGGCCACCTTCACATGGATGGGATTAGAAGCTGTTCATATGTACATTGCCCTAGTGAAAGTGTTCAACACGTATATACGGCGATACATACTGAAGTTTTGCATCATTGGCTGGGGTGAGTTCAGTAGATGCAATATTTGCATTGCATGTATTTTGAAAAGATGCCATATAAAAGCTCTCTGTCATAAATGCAGAGCAGAATTGAAATCAGCATGGTGTTTCTTTCCTCCTGCCCCGTGGCAGTGCTGGCATGCAGCCAGGCCTCTCTGTCTGCATGTTCCTCCATAAAATTCTTTGCAAATACACCATAACTGGCACACTCTGTCCGGAGCAGCTCACAGCCCAAGCAGGAGCAGGAGAGACCAGAAAAACTGCTCTTACTTTCCAGAGAAGCCAGAACAGGAGGTGGGAATTGTTAATGTCATATCACAGATGGAGAACCATGGCACAAAATGAACTCAGAAAATCTTGATGTTACTGTGGGGATCTTTGCATTGACTTTCAAAAAACTTTCAGTAAAGGTTTCTTGCCAACAAGTTCATAGCCTATGTCGGAATCAGAAACAACCAAAATTTCAGCACAGTGTTTAAAACAGAGAGATCCTGACTGCCCTAAACAGTGTATGCAGCAGGACTGAAATGGAAAATGTAATACTGAAAAATAACTGCGAGGCTCAGGCAGCAAGGCTTTTATTCTTCATTTTTCTCTGCATCAGGAATCTGTGCCTTCTGTCTGAATGCGCATATTGTGTTTGAAATAATACAACACAATGCAAAACTATTAACCTCATGGCTAGAGCACTGACCTTGGTACAGCTGATAATTGATGTCTTTCCATTGGCTACTAGCATCCTCTTTGGCAGCCTCAGCAGAGGACAATGGTTGAGTGGTCGGAAAAGCAAATTAACTTCTTCCCCTCTGAATGTTCTGTTTTAGCAAGGATAAGAGATGTAAATAAGGCATGTCAGGAAACGTACGTTTCTTTTGTGAGAGCAGTACCTCTGCACAGAGTTCTCTTCCACATAGTTGTCTATTTTCCAAAAAAATTCCATTTACCTTATTATTAAAAAATATATAATTTGCTTTGTTTTGGGGGAACACATTAAAGTAAAGGATTTATAATGCTGTAGAAAAAGAAAAGACCTTTGTAGTTGAGAGATGCAGCAGAGAAATTATAGATTCAAGTTCAGTTCCCCAAACTAATCAAGTGACATTAGCATCTCTAAAACAAAAACCCTCAAAAAAATCCCCATACCATCTCTCCATTAGATCTCTTTTTTTGTAATAGTTTGTTAATCTTCTCACTGTATTATGTGAGCCTGTGTGCAATTGCAGATTTAACTTTGGGTAATTAAGGGAGTTGATTTTACTTTAGTTTCTATGTCACATACTAAAATGGCATTTTCTAGCTTACAGAACATTATGAGGCTTATGCATTAATGGTCATTAAGTGCTTTGAAAGTTTTATACTTTTGTACTGTTTGAAAAATAATTTCCTGCTACTTATCTGTGCAGTTTCTGACATAGGACTACATCAGGATAGTCTGTACTAAAACAATAGGGATGGGGACATCAATAATAAAGCTTTGCATGGTGATTATGAAAGTTTAGGAGGTTTGAAAGCAAGCTGCAAGTTTTCTTGTGTTACAGGTTTGCCAGCTCTGGTGATAGCAATTGTTTTAGCAAGTGCCAATACAAATGCAAGTCATATTTATGGCAAAGAATTATATGGCAAAGATGCTAATGGACAAGGAGGAGACGACTTGTGAGTATTTCTTTTAATTTCAGAAAAAAAAAAAAATAGCATTGACCAGATTGCTTTGTAAAATCCAGAGGTGGATTAAACAAGCAAATGGGCAACATTAATTTCTAAATTATTTGAATCTGAAATGTGAAGAAGCCTATGGGAAAAATCAGGGGGGAAAGTGCATTACACAATGTCAAGTACAAACACTCCTTTGGCAAAACAATAATTCACAGGTTTTGTCAGGGAAATAAAATTAAAATACCTATTTTTGTTTAGTTTAAATGAAAGCTGTATCTTAAAGGTAGGAGCAAAGAAAGAAGTAGTATAAAACCATTTTCCTTTGACAAAAGGCTAGTTTATATACAATATAGTTCAATAGCTTTCTATGTTTTTTTTTCCTTAATGTCCAGATAATAATCTCCAAATGCCAAAATTTTTATATGCCTATTACAATGTTTTCTGTTCCTTACCTGGCAAAGCTTCATCATCATAAATAAAAATTTTTATTGCAGTAGTATGCTAAGCATTCCAGCCATTTCCTGCTAGAGGAATAAGCTAGAGCTCTCATGTGGCTGATTGTCAAATGGCTTTCTCATAAGACTACTCATCCTCCTTCTCCAGACATGTGTGAGTTCTCCTTTAGGTAAAGTGGCAGAAACAAAATTTTGACACTGAAGATCCAAGTTTTCCCATTCTATTCCTAAAGCTTCACACAGTTGAGACTGGTGAAGCTACTTCTAGTGAGTCTAAACTTTCCCTGATGGATTTGCAGTTCCCACACCTTGTGTCTGAGATCAGATTTCCTTTTTACTTAATTTTAACTGAAGTGTGGTACAATCCTCAGATTTCTGACACAATAATACTCTCGACCATAGCCACTGAAGAGGCCACTGGGCTTCATCCTATTTACAAAAAGAAAATGGGCAAATGCTTCATTTAAAGTATAACTCTGCATTAGTGGAATTAGGCAGAATGATGTTCATTATAGCATACAAATAATTGGAAGATACTCTGTGTTATCTGAAAATGATAATACTTTTTTTTTTTTTTTTTAACAGCTGCTGGATCAAGAATGAAGTTGTCTTTTATGTCACTTGTGCTGGCTACTTTGGAATCATGTTTCTGATGAACGTTGCCATGTTTATTGTGGTGATGGTGCAGATCTGTGGGAGGAATGGGAAAAGAACTAATCGGAGCCTGAAGGAAGAGATCCTGAGGAACCTCCGCAGCGTGGTCAGCTTGACCTTCCTCCTGGGCATGACATGGGGCTTTGCCTTTTTTGCCTGGGGTCCCTTAACTCTTCCTTTCCTGTACCTCTTCTCAATTTTCAATTCACTGCAAGGTAAGCTGAATTTATGGTTTGTGAACAAATAGTATTTGAGATGTTGCTGTTATGGGACGTATTATATCCAGTGATTCAACTAGGGAACTCGGATCCCAGCTCTCTAGGTTTTCGCTTGATACTAAACCATCATTATTTTCCCCTTATGTGCAATAATGATACCAATTGCATGTGGGTCAAATATCTTAGCTAAATTACTTAATGTTTCAAGATATTTTCCATAAAATGCACTCTATTATAAGTAGTGTTATCCCTAGCTAACGATCTCCAGCAATCTCTGTTGAAAAAGATGCTGTATGACCTTCAAGGTTTCCTTTCACTGATTATCACAAGTATAGGAAGCCTCTTTTCTTAATTTATTTTGTAGGGAATCTGCAAAGCTCAAAACTATTCTATTAAGACATGAGAAGCTCATAAAACAAAATTCAGTCCTGATTCAATGTGAGGAGACAGCATAGAAATATGGGAAGTTCTTTGGCTCTTTAAGGAAAATCAAGTAACTGTTCCTTCTGCTGACCACTTGCACAGTATAGAATGACATTATCACTAATGAGTAGACCAGCAGCCAAACTCCTCCCTTCACTCCCATATCACACACCAGAGACTCATAGTGACAGATAACTGGAGGGAGGAACAATTCAATGCACTCGCCCGCCACAGCGGACATGAAGAAGGGAGCAAGCCAGGCAAGCAGCCAAGCCATGGGCAACGGTGGCAGCCAGGCCATGAGTCCAGTTATAGAGTAGGGACTCAGAGACAGCTTCACGTTCTGGCCTTGCCATCCTGGGAACTCCACTTGCCATGAAAAGTCAGGAAGCCCTTCCAATAGCCAGAATCACAACACATACACTCTATGAACAGACCTCCCAAGAGGTCTTCTGCAAGAAGAGTCAGTTCTTATAGAGGTGGCTTCTTGCCCCGCCTCCAAGTTAATGTTGAAGGCAGGGGCACCTGGTGGTGATCTCCTAATCAATTCCCACCCAAGGCTGGCAAGACCCTGGGTGAAAACCAATCAGGAGGATCTTTCTTGCCTGGCTGTGGACATCATCCATATGCCAGCCCTCATTCAGGACTGGTCACTGTTACAGTCAGTTTATTTTTGTTTCCTTTACTGAAGTTTTAAATATTTAGCTTTTAAATACAGTCAGTTTATTTTTGTTTCCTTTACTGAAGTTTTAAATATGTAGCTCATCCTTCTGAAAAATATAATCCAATGGTTAGAAATCACAGAATTATATAGATGGCATTTAAAAGAATTTCTGCTCAGAGCTGAAATCCATGTATTTATCAAATGACATAAGAACTTCCACGTCTATTTGCCCTACCCACTAATAAAGAACAACTAAAAACATAACAAAAAGAAAAAGATATGAAGGTTATTAGAAGGTCATATGTTACCCTATGTATGTATTGCTGTATAAAAAAAATAATTTTCCTGAAGAAAAACAAAATAAAAAACCCAAGAATGTCATTGAAAGACCATGTTTTATGCCACACAAATATTGAAATAAGAAGTAAATTTTTTCAGTGTCAGCAAATACCTTCCCCTTATGAAAAAAAGTATTTAATTGTGTTCTCTGGATTTTATCTGTTACAGTTGAGATGTATTTACTGTGCTAAAAGATTCATTGAGCTTTCGTGGAAAGATAATAATGTTGTGGGGTTTTTTTTGATTCAGTTTCAACCTAAAATGCTAGGCAAAATGGCAAAAATTGTTTGGAAGTGGTGTTCTTACTAAAGACTTATTTTTCCAAGGGACAGATTCTGATACTCCCCTTGCAGCATAATGAAGTATTTGCTGCAATGTGCCTGGGTTAGAAATGCAAAAAGGCCTAGAGAGATTAGAACTATGGGAAGAATATGAAAAAAAGATCAAAAATCTGAACAGGGCGCCAAGGACCAAATTAAACAAGTTCTCTGTAACCAGAATTTCCAGTGCAATCAATTAGTCTTGTATGTGCACAGTGCACACAAGGTTGACCACCACTGCTTAAGTCTCTGTAGGATAATACCACTGTTCAATGGAAAATGAATATTTGGAAGTCAGTTAAGCCAGAAGATGAAACTGAAAAAACTGACAATTAATTGCAAGAAAGGTGATGAGTTTATCACAGATTGTAGTAGCAACAATGACACAGTATATGGTCAGACATGATATATCAAGCACAGGAACACAGTAATCCTATATCTGAAAATGCTTATTACCATGTCAGAAAGAGCTATGCAAAAATAAACAAACAAGAAAGAAGATGTTTAAAATCATATGTAACTGGTGCGGCGCACATGCAGCAGTGAGGGGATGTAATCCACCAAGAAAAAAATTAGGATTTGTTTCAATCAAATAATTTCCTAGCAGTAAAAAGCAGTTCAGTGTGACAAGTCTTTCACCAGTATTAGCATGAGCTTTATTATTGAGACCTCAGTAAATATGTTTATTCTCGCTCTCAAGTTTTTGAAAACTGCATGAATATTTTAAGCTATACCAGCAGCCTCCATCAACAATTTTCTGTGCACTGACAGTGAAAAAGTAAATTGCAACAACCACTGGCGTTACAGTACTTTGTTATTTCATCTACATAGGAAATTATTTTTCTCTCTTTGAAACTCAGAGTAAAAAATCTGGGAACATCTCTTTTTTGGCTGCTCATTTTATACATATGCCTGGGCAAGCCAAATGCTTTCAAGTCAGAGCCAAAGTAGAGCCAAGCCTAGGGTCTGACTTGGCTCTGGGAAACAAAACTGAAGCTGTATTACTAAAGCACATTGTAAACTTAATGAATAATGAAATACAGAGAAAAAAAAATTATTGGAGACCAAGCTCAGACAGGACAAAGACGAAGTATTTAATGCAGTACATTTGTTTTGTATTACTATAGGTATGCATGTTTTATTTTTTAACTACTTAGAATGTTCCAAGCATTCATCACAATTTAATTAAACATCAATTTAATAAGTTTGTAGCTGTGCAGAAGTCCTAAGAGGTACGTTAGGCCACAAATAGTTGTGTATCTCTAAGCGTGTAGGAGCTGCTAGTGATTAAAACAAATCACACAGAGAAATATTTTACTAAACACAATCATAGGAACCATAAAGCAACAGAACTTGCATGTGGGCTGTATTAAGATATGTTTGCCTTTTTTAAATTGTACTCTTCCTTTTTTTTTCCCCATGAGCTCTTGAAAAATTTTGCAAAAAATTGTTTCATGACACAACTTTTATCTAAAGTTAATCGTACTTGCTTATAGCCATCAGGCTGGGCTGAGACAACTGAGATCAAGTCCAACTCAATGACATCCATTCATGCAAAATTAGACCTCAGCACTCTGGAGAAGAGAGGATAATGGCGTGCTCTAGAGCATTTTTTCCAAGCTTTACCCTGCCATTGTGATCTACCAGCTGAAACATAGTAGACATTAGTATACAGAACTATGCATGATGATCATAAATAAATTATTTTAGAGGATGGCACTTAACCATGTTTGCCCACATTATGTAGCATTTATTCATGCCTAGGATACAATCATGAGGGATTAGGCAGTAACATTTTGCCATCAGATGTTCAGCCTCAGGTTGGCTTTCTCCCAGAGAATAAAACAAGAACAGGCCAAGCCTGAGAACGACAGAAGATTCCACAGCCAGTGCCCACCTGGGAAGAGCCAGGAGCATATGAGATTTCCAACTTCTATATTTAGCTCCAAAATATCTCTGTAGAATGATGAAATCATACCATACACCCAGTTAAGACATTCTTTACCACATGGTAGACACTTACTTTCTATATGATACGATTGCATGATAAAAATGAACCCTACAAAAACATTCTTAAACACATTTATTGTGAATGCATGCACAAACCTGGTAATTTTCTTCAGAAATAAGTCGCTGGATGCCTAATTAGTGCTTGTGAACACATTCTTACCATTTTCATAATCAATTCAAGTACATTCATGTGATTAACGTAAATCCAAGTGTGCTTTTATGGGCCATTCTTTAATGCCAATTACAAGACTCCTGGTTTTAAAAGAATACAGACCATGTTTCTGCAGATATGGAACAGGAGAAGATAAAATATCTTCTTGCTAACATAATAATGACTGTATTTACTTTGCAGTCTTGCTTTTGCAGTCCTTTTGGATGCAAAATACTAATTTGGTTCAGACAGACCCCTTCCATTATTTTCCTTCAAAACAAAAAGAATAATTAAAAGATCCACATTGAGCTGGATCTAAATCAACAGTGTCAATAAAAGGGGCACTATTCTCTCTCTTCTGATATCTCAGACACTTATATAACAGCTAGAGGATGGAAAAGCTTTAATTTATTTCCACATCTCTTAAATGAGGCATAGACAACAATAAGAAAACTTTAAGATTATTTTGTTTTGATATTACTTAATAGCGGATTTTAATTAATCTGTTTTGAAATAAATTTCATTTATTGTTTATGTGCTTTTGTTACAGGTTTATTTATATTTGTATTCCATTGCGCTATGAAAGAAAATGTGCAGAAACAATGGAGGAGACACCTTTGTTGTGGCAGATTCCGACTAGCAGACAATTCAGGTAAAAGCAATTTACAGCTCCCCACTTTAGATACTGCAGTAGTCCATAAAAGCCCAGGTGAACAGCTTGATGTGTTATTTTTAATATAATACAATATAAGCCAGAGCTGTGGAAAAATAAGTTAATCACAAGCTGTCACTTCACTTCAGTACTAACAATTGCCAAGGGACTTTTCAGCTATCACTTCATAAAATTTCTCAAGTCTTCTCTTTCAGTTTTCCACTGAAGGCAGCTGGTAAATTTTGCAGGGCTATGAGCATGATTTTGGGAGGCCCTTTGTACCCTGCCACAAAAAAAAAAAAAAAAAATTAAAAAAAAATCCAGAGATTGAAACTCTGTCATTCGGATGCCAGTCTGACTCCTTTTCAACATTACAGTATGTTTATTGAATTTTATAGACACTTAGGTTGATGTAGGAACAATTTGTAAAAGGCAGATAGAAATACTTTGAAGTCTTATACCTTTATCTGTGCCTTCCCAAACTGTTCTGTCCTTCACAATATAATTCACAGACCATTCAGAGACTCAAAAACATAGGAAGTTCCTTTAGCAGAAGCCTGATTAGGATCCAGAATTGAGGTTCATCTTTATCTGCGACTCAGAGAGAAAGGAGAACTGTTAGTTTGAACATTCTGAAGTGCAACAGTTGGGATGCTGTGTTTATAGTCTCCTGCACCCTTGGCCGTCTCAGATGGCATTAGACTCACATGTTTAGGCAACTGGATCTTTGCTTACTTTATAATGTAATGATTTTGGACCTTATATTTCTTGCTCATATGGTTCTTGCTCAATGACCAGGCTTGAAATCTACAGTTGATGTAAAGTAGCATAAACTCATTTCCTAGTAAGGTAAGCCAGCCTATCCCAGATAACAACAGTGCTCAAAATACTCATGTCCTTTCTCTCTTGGTATCCAAGTTTTTTTTCAGGGTTTGAATTAACTGCTTTGCCATCAACACTTTCACTTTGTCTTGCTCTGTTTTGCTTAGAGAATGCATTCTCTTTCTACAGTGTAAAATATCTATGCTTTCACTTCATAGTAGGAAAAGCTGGTTCATGATTTCAAAGAGTTAATACAAATTAAGAAAAGTGTATTCATTCAGGCACTCAGACTGTTTCATATGTTCAGTTCCTATGTGGTTCATGCTGTGACTCCTGAACTGGAAAACACAGATGGATCAAACTATTTCAGGACTTTTATGCTGCTGTTGGCATCTTATCAGAATGATAGAAATAAAAACCTGAGGAATTTGAGCACTTTGGTGATACAGTTCATGTGTTGTCATTACACCTAGCATTAACTAGTCCATCACCACCAGCTGGTTTTACTCTCCATGAACCTGACGCTTTGTAGGCAGAACAGTGAAATATAAGCCAAATGTGAACTCGCATACCTATGCAATTGAAGTACACTGTAGGGCATGCTATGATAAAGCAAAGAAACAAACAAGCCCAAAGCCTTGCAACGCTGCCATAACTAGACTGGAAAAATAGTAACCTATACCCTGTAGCAATGAGTTAGGATAAAATCCTTGTCTTGATTTAAATCAAGGCTAAGATGACCCATGTGTCTTTGATTTGAATTTCTCTTCCATTTTGTGAATGTCATTGCAGTACAGTGAGTAATAGCAACAAGACTAAAGTGTGAAAATTTTCGTATCTATCTCCAAGCATATGATACAAAAGTAGATACCTTTACTCTACTGGTAGCAGGACACATGCGATGAGTTTTTCTCATCATTCAACTGATAAGTGTCAGTTTTCCTCAATAAAGTTTCTTGGTATTAGATATTTAATTCCATTTTGGAAGTTGTTCCACTATAAGAGCCTATAATGTTAATGATTTGGACAAAACTCTTCAATTGTGAACTACTGAATAACCATTATTATTCAATGGTATTAATACTTACTACATAAACCCTATAACAACAGGTACAAATACATCAGCATATAGTAGGTATCTCAGCAGATACCTCAAGCCCTCAGACAATAAGACTTCTGTAAATGCTCCTATCATTCCCTTTCCTATTCATCCCTTTGGAGTTCTCTCTTGAGGTGATGAAACTTTGGCATCCTTATCCTGCTACAGATCTTCACTGCTCTCCTGGATCCTGGAAAGCCAGATCTGCCATCCAGCCAAATGATTGTTAGAGAGTTAGAGCCACCAATCTTAACTGTTGTGGTAAACAGCAAAGCAAATTAAGCTGGAATATTTCATGTTTCTTAAGAACCAAAGGGACTACCTAACAGGAAAAGGATAGGCTGTTTGTTACAAGTAAGAGTAAGAAATGCATGTGATACTTAGAATGTTCATAATTGAATTAACTAGGCATTTAGTATCTATTGTAATTATTTATGTAAAATATTTAAATCATTTTTAGACTGGAGCAAAACTGCAACCAATATTATAAAGAAGAGTTCTGATAATCTTGGGAAATCCTTATCCTCTAGTTCCATCGGCTCAAACTCAACCTACTTAACATCAAAATCAAAATCTACGACAAATACATATTGCAAACGGAACAGCCATACAGGTGAGTTCTTGCATTGTGACATAGTCCATCTGTAAATACATAGTTGTATGTTAAAGGTATAGTGGGGACTTCTTCCCAAAGGTTAATGTAAGAAAAGTTCACCAATTTATAAAGTTTCAGTGGTTTTCTAAATATATATTACTATTTTAAAAGAATCTTAAGCTACTATTCAGTCCATTAAATATATGGTTCTGATTGCAGTATGTTCCCACACTAAACAAAGTAGGCATGATGAAAACAAATCTTACTTTTTGTATAACATTTTGAACTTTTTGGCTAAAAGAAGGTAAGTCTTATTATCCCATTGTAAACACAGGGTAGCCAAAGCACAGAGAAATAACATTCATCACCCAGGGTAACCTGAAAGCTAGCAGCACATCTGGAAATAAGAACCAAGTCTTCTGAACCCAAATCCACAGCTGATTCTCTTGGTCAAACTGTTACCATTAACTGTAACACATTTATGGATGAAGTGACAAAAGGAGGCTGTTTGGAAATAGATACTGTGTTCCCAGAGTATGCATTGTCTTTGCTTTGTACCAATAGCATGCAATATCTCCTGCTTATTTATTTAGATGTCAGTGGTGTATGTAATAAAAGACATCATTTGTATTCCACTCATGCCATAAAAATATGCTTAGCTTAAGAACACTTTAAAGGAATACAAAAAGAGAGGAAATTGAATGATTTGCAAGTCTGTTTGCTTTTGTCTGAGATAATATTTCAGAAAATCACTTAAATAGTTCTGATTTTTTCGTCACTGGGTTTTGTGAACTTATTTTTTTTGTACTGTATTAAGTCATGTAACATTATCACAGAATCCTCATCTAAACCATAGCAGAAATAAAGTCTGTAAACTTATTTAACCAAAGGATGTACTTTCCTACTTCAAAATATTTGTTAGAAGCAATGTTGTAGATATGAAGTAGATTATTTTACCAGAAGGAAGGTTTCATTTTTTCTTAAGAATAAATTATTTTCAGAAGCCCCAAGGTCTCACTTATGATGGCAGAATCTCCTTTCTTAATATGTGGTATAGTTCCCAGAATATATCTTCCTATATTTATTGATGATCATTTACTGGTTCAGTTAGCCACCCAATTTTTGTCTAGAAATCCCGTTTTTAAAGAATTCCATTGTTATTTTCTCACTAACCAAAATGCAGTGCGTCCATTAGCACGAGGGTTTGTGCATCAGGTATTTTAAGAGTGTAAACCTTTTTTTTTGTTATTGAGAATGTACATGAAGTACATTTCCTTTAAAGGCAGTAAAAATGAGTGGTGTCTTGGAAATCCCCTGGTGTACCTGAGCTTGCTTTCACAACCACCATTCACAGCCATGCTGGGAGCACACGGCTGACACCTGCCTCACCAGGGTGCCTGTCCCTGCTGCCATACCAGGTTTGATGTGCCACATGCCCACAAGCCTTGACCAAGCTGTCTTCAGCTCTTGCCTATGAAGGGACGCTTCTGTCAGCAGTCTTCCATGAACATCATCTGTAACAGACCCTGATCACAGTACCACTGTTAGTTTAATAGTAGAGGAGGAAAGCATCGTGCCCTTTCTGCTGCAGAGCATTCTCCATTGTGTAGACAGAGAATTCCCCTTTGTACTTGTGGCAGATCAACCTTTAGACCCTTGGTATAGGGATTAAGATAAAAATATGCTTAAATTTTTTGTTGGACCCAGTGCTTTTTATCATTATGACGATTAAAGATACCTAGTGTTGGAGTTTTTGCAGTGTGTTCTTGAAGTAAAATAATAAGAGTTCCAGATAAGAAGTTAAAAGACTCTTGCAGTTAAAAATATGCTCATGTACTTTCTTCAAAAGTGGTGAGCTTAATCCCATGCATAAATTATTTCCTAAAAGGAACTGCTGTTGGTAATGTAATGAATGGTAATTTGTAACATGATGGTTTATTGGATTAAGGCAATAGCAGAGTTTTCGCTATATTTTTAAACTTTCAATACATTTTACTTTGACCTCTGAAAATACACATTTTTATTGTGGTACTCCAAAGGATTTTTTGCTACTGTTAGGTTTTTAAATACTAGCATAACTTCTCATGTGTTAAACCAATCGAAAACATTAAAATTCTGATTTTTAATACAGCTAAAATTCTCAGTTTGATGTCTTAGCTAAATTGCAGGCAAATAATGTAACTGCAAGATGTCTTGGCAACTCTTGTTAAAATGGTTATAATGTGCTCCCTGGAATTGACACAAGCATTCGTGTATTTGTGGTATAGATAATGTCTTCTAAGGCCCTTTCCTCACCAGTGGTGGAGCGTTACAGGTAAAGTGAGAATTGCTTTTGTTGAATGCATGGTTTGAGCAGGGTGGAGGGATGCCACTTGCATGATGTCCTCATTGGCACAAAGGACTTTGCTAATCAATCAGAAATGCTGCTTGTTTCTTACTGTTACATCTTGCACCATTGATGCTGGATCAAAGGATAAGTGAGCTTCAAACTCTGGGTGTCTGCACTCTGCATGGGGCATTAAGCATTTGGAAAATACCATTTTAGAAAACAGACCATGTCCTGACATTAACGCCTCTTTACAGCAGTCTGAGGAAAAGAGATTAAGTTGAAATAAAAAGCATACATTAAAATGCAAAGGGAATCTGAACGAGTCCTAGAATTTTTGTTTTGTTTTGTTTTTTAAACTTATCAAAGGACTTTTAAGAGACTGCATTTCTATTTGGTCTATTGCCATTATGGAATTAATCTTCTAGCCATTGTTTTTTCAGATCTAGTCACACCCAAAGTAACTCTGAATGACAAACTATATATGCCTGAAAGCTGTGCTGTGAGCTGGTGGTTGACTGCAGAATGCACCAATTGAGACATGAACATTGTATGGGCCCTACTGGGTGTTCAAAAGAAATCACTTCGACATCTTGTGGCTTTGCCATCTACAAATCTGAAACAACGTTGTTGTCGATAGTACTTAAATACCATCTATAACACTTCTATGAATTAGAAGTTAAGATTATTTCTGCAGAGTATTCAGTGGTGCAACTCTCATTTACTTCAGTCATACAGGATTTTAACCCTGTACTTGGGTGTGAAGTTCATTGAGCTAAAACAAAGAAGGCTTTGCATAATTCCTGTGCATGCAAATTTCATGAGGAAATAGCTGGTATTTAACAATGTAATGATACCTTGTGAAAAAAAGTGTATATATTTGCAAGAAATCTCAAAAATATTCTCTAAAGGCTAATTAACTTTTCATCTTTGAAATAAGCAGAACATGTATTCTACTTATGTTCAATATGTAGAAAAACTTCAAAATGTACTACTATCAGCTAGTAAATGCCTACATTTGAAAGGCACACAGTACTCGGCAGTTTGCTATTGGACATGGAGTTATTTGCTGCAATTCATGGACGTTCTTGCGTGCTTTGAAAAAATCATCCAGATATGCCTGAACGTGCTTGTTTCTTTTTTCATGAACAAACCTGTTTTGATTTCTCACTCTGCAATCCATTTCTCCTTTGCAACTCTTTATACTCTGTTGTGGCTTGGTATCATGACATCTGCAGGGACGGGTTACTTTCCTGTTTGGGGGGGAGTGGATTAATTTTTTTTTCTATAAGAAAAATATTTTGTATGAATTCACAGTTCAAGTAATATGCTAAATTCTTAAATGATCCTTTAACAAGGAATTTTAGAAGGTGATTTCACCAAGGTCTTGTAAACAGCCGTCAAAAACATCACTTGTAGCAAACATTGCTTCACAGGATACTCCATCCTACTGTCTTGCTATGGTCCAAAACTTGCTTGGGTTAAGAGAATTACTTACAGCTTTATTCACTACAGTGGAAGACATAATAAAGCTCATTAGGACAATGTACTTGAGAAATGAGATACAGGCTCTCATTGCTCTACATGAGCTCTACCTACTGACCATTCTTCAAACAGCAACAGTGTTAGCTGCTGAAACAGACTTTCTCAGCCCACCTGGGAGCTGCCTCACTCCTTTTTCTCTTCAGCTCCACCCTTGGCCTATAGCACATGAACTGTGGCATCCCTTACCAGTTTTCTGCATCTCATCCTCCCCACAGTTGTTCAGTCGATACCCTCCACATTATGGAAAAAACAAAGTGATGCCAGGCAAGCACAGAGTTTAGGCCAGTTGCAGCTGTGCTTATCTGCTCTCAGATGCATTCTGCACAGAGTACATTATTTCTGTGCATAGCTTAAAACCTCTACTATTGAAATAATTAAATCCATTTACTGCATTTTCCACTACTTTATTATGTGGAGGTGTTATTTACCAGATGTTATGGAGGTCACTGCTATTCCAATACTATTGAAATGTTTTTTTGCTTGTAAGACTCAAAGCATCAACAGTAGATTAGTATATTAAAAGTTTATAGGAGTTAGTTGCACTTTAGGCAAAAGAATAGGGAGATAATTTTAAGAGAGACCTGAGAGGTCTGCCCACAAGACTAGACATCTTAAAAGAATTTAGAAGAAGCAATGCCAAGCCAAAAAGTTGTTTTCTGGCTATTAGGGCAGTCATTTCGTCCAGCAGTAGTGGCAATTGAAGGCATGTCTGTGTGGGAGTAACAGACCTCTTAAACTATGAGTTTACTTAAGAAGCCCTAACTTCTTGTTTTTTCCTCTTCCTAGAGAATGTTTTTCTTGACAAGCCATCTTCAAAATTTGCCCAAGAGGATGGAGAACAGACATCAATCATCCCTGTCCACCAGGTTATTGACAAGGTCAAGGGATATTGCAATCCTCACTCCGACAACTTCTATAAAAATATCATCATGTCCGACACATTTAGTCACAGCACAAAGTTCTAATGGAGCTTCTGGAGTTTTTAAACCAAAGAAAGACAAAAAGTCTGCCTGGAATTGAGAATATTGGATATCGTAGAATGTGACACGTTTTGTTATTTTTTCCCAGTTTCTAATATTCTCCTGCTAACAGCTTCAACTCAAGGACCAATTTCTCTACCTTTTTATTGTTGTGGAAAACGACACTTTTCCACCATAGTACTGAGCTGTTTTTAAACTTGTGCCAGCCAACACAATGCTTGGACAGGTAGCTGTAATCCTGTGTAAATATTTTTTAAGACTGAAGAGCCACAAGCTTAACTCTAAATTACGTATTCCAAACAGAAGCAAGTCTTGACTCCTGGGGAAAATAACAGACATGTCACACAGTGCAGGCATGCTCTTATTGAACGGTTTACTGATGGTCTTTTCCTTTTGAAAAATATGGATATGCCCTATGACACTTGTTAGATTTTTGCGTCTTGACTGTCTAGTGTTGTCTGTTCTACATTCGTAAGTGAATAAAACCCGAACACCAGTGTTAAAGGTTATTTTAAACCATTTTTTACTACATAGACCTAATCACAGAAATCTTGCTTACCAAAAGAATATGTGCTGTAAATTCAGGCTATTTTTTATCCATGTAGAATCATAGAATGGCTTAGGTTGGAAGGGACCCTAGAGATTATTTTATCCAACCTCCCTGCCATGGGCAGGGATGCCTCTCAGCTAGACTAGGTTGCTCAAGACCTCATCCAACCTGGCCTCCACAACCTCTCTGGGCAATTTATTCCATAGAAACATGCTTATCACACAGATGTGCTGGCTGAGGGGCGTGCAAAGTTGCTAGTAACTCTTGCAAATTGTAAGCCTACTGATACGTATGGAAATAGTCATATGTATCATTTGCTTCTGTGCAGAACAAGTACACAGGTAAATCCAAAGTTTACACAAAGTCATGTTTCAACATTTATTAACTGGTATGTATGAAATGTGGCCTCTCCCATAGCAATTTTATGTTTAATGTTCTTTTTCACTACATGAAATGGAAAGCATTCAACTATATATAGATATATAAATATATACCTGGATTTGTTTCAACACATATTTTTATAATAATACACACAGTAAATATGACAGAGGAAACCACAATGTGTACCACAATCTAAGAACAATGAACGGTGCTAAAACTTAAGTACTGAAATACAAGGTGAATACTTTGTAAACCCATGGGTTCATTTGTCAGATATAAAATATATAGAGAGACACCTGCATATACTGTATATATAGACACCTAAATCAGATGGCATCGCAACATTAGAATAACCTGGAATACATTTGCCAGTAATAAATAAATAACACCTTTATAGGCACTTAATGTTATCAGTCTCCCTCTCCTGACCCCCTGTTGGCTGGCTTGATTGGCATTGTTGGAGGCACAGAGTTTAAACAATGTTCAGACAACATTAGGAAATTTTATGTTGCTATACTCGGTGCGTAACCACACCGAGCTGTGTGTGGGAACAGACAAGAGTATAAAATGCTTATCTGTTTTAGTCTTTATAAATGTGTGGCACATTAGCACATTGCCATGACTGCCAAAAGTACATCTCCTCAGGAAGCATGTTTTGTTCCATGACAGGTTTTATAGACGTTGTAACAGCACATGTTGCTTAAGGCATGGGCTGAAAAATCAAAGGTATTTTCAAATGCTGTTTTCAGAGGAGAATGTCTACGAATGGAAATTTTAATTTTAAAAAATCTTGTGGGCTTGTTTTTTTGGTTTTTTAACCAAAATATTCTTATCAAAGTATTTAATTAATTGTATTCAGAAGGTGGCCAGAAAGTTGTGCTGCGATTTTTCAGTTGCCAAGCAGTTCAGTGAGTCAGGATGTAGATTTGTGCCTCCCTTTGCATGCACTTTTGTGTGCAGATGTGGTTTAATGCTGTGACCGCACAAATGGTGGATTTTCCCTGCCTGCAAATACGCAGTGGGAGGAGGATGTCCTGGTGGCATCCCGTCCAGAAACACTGTTGTCACTACACAGACCTTAATGAAACCTCAGTCTTGTAACTGCAAATACTGACGTGGTAGTATGAGTGAAAGTCAACCTGATTCATTCAAAATGTAATTATTAACAAGGATGAGTGTTGTTAGATACCTTCAATACGGGAAATAATTTAGGGAGAGATTATGTACCAGCATTTACTGAACTTATATTTTATCATCCCACTTGCTTAACTACTGTAGATAATAGTGTTCACATAGCAGTTTACTGTGAGATTTCTACCTGATTAAGGTATTCAGAAGTATTCAGAAGGAAAAACAAACATGCCTGAAAAAATGAGGAATCAGTAAAACATAATAGCTTAGTAAAATATAAATAAAAAGCAGAGTATTCTGACTGAAGCTGAGCTGTAACCTATCAGTTTAATGTACAGCTACCTACATTTTTGCTGAATGAAGATTTTTTTCATTTTTTTACTACCATGTAGTAATCTTAAACTGTGTCAGTTAGATGCTCTTGAATGCTCTCAATTCTAGAATGTAAAGCTTCTACTTTGTAGTTGACATGCTGTAACCTCCCTTGTATATATTTATTTATTTGTGAGGTTAAATATGTCAAATATACATTTAGCTCTATCATGACTATTCTTGTTACTTTAAAACTAAGCTTCTGCTTCATTATAGAAGAAAAGGAAAATAATAATTTCTTATATATGTTTTTTTTTTTTTCCCCAGAGATCTTGTGAAACAATTTACTGTAGTTCTATCTATTACAGGTGTGAGGAAATATGTCAGTGTAATTTGTAATACTAGTCAGTGGGATATAGTGTAACAGGCTTGAAGATGGACTGAAGCAGAAAGAAACATTTTCAAGTAAACATTCTTGATCTTATCATCCCAATAATTAAAGTCTTTTAATAGTTGATGGTTGATTTTTTTCTTTTTTAGTGTTTAATAGCTAAAATTACTCTGTTCGATTCTGTGAAATAATCTTGTGTTTATTAAGTACAAGATAGGTACATGCCTAGCCAAAATGTCAGAAATAAATGTGCAAGACTAACTCCATCTCACCAGAGAAACGCATTTTGCAGAATTATGTTTTTCCCCTTTGTGATTTTCCCGAAGCCACATCCAGTAAATGATCTAAAAGTTATGTAAGTTCGTTTATTTATGGTAGCAGTCATGTCATAGAAATGAAAGGAAAATCAAGGAAACAGGCAATACGCTGGGAGAATCTTAAAAGTAATACAAATGAATAATCTAAAATTCAGGAGTTGGTTCTGTTCATACGTTTCTTTCCAGCTGAATGTAGTCCATCATTGTCAATGATTTGATACATCTTGTAATCATACTTTGACTGATCACTGTTGAAATATCTTAGCCAGCCAATGACTTGATTAATACACACTAGTATATAAACATTAAGTGTAACACACTAATGACCTACTTTTAAATGTTTGCCTTTAAAGAAGACAGAAACCTGCTGAAATGTGTCAGATCTGCTCCTCTGTATTTAAGACTCATCAGAGAAAAAGCACAGAATATGAAGATTTAGTGGTAATATTTTTTTGAAAGCAATCAAAAAATCCCCATGTGATAAGTGGCATTTATTAATGAGGATGCTGGATGTGCCTGTGGACAGTGTCTCCATGGGCAGTGAATACTGGCCTTGAGCTTTATGCCTTGAGCAGTGTGGGAGGACCCTCTGAGGGAAGCAACCCAGGTTATTTTTTTCCCAAGCAAGATCTTAGCAGATGCCAAACTTGTAACGAGCGATTTGCAGCATTTGGGGGCGGATTTATTTTTCTCCTCATTTCATCACTTTTTAAATATCAGGAACAATTTTATTTTAATCCTCTACTGTTAACAGCTTCTTCCTACTGTAACCCATTGAGTTACATAAAATGCCACTTCATTTTATTACTTTTGAAAGTCTGATCTATAATCAGACTCGTCTATGTAACCACAAGGAGAGCCACAGGGCAGCAGTGTGTCATTCATGGAGCAATTATAAAAGGCTGTTATGTGTTTACTATAGTAAGCATGTATAAAGATTTAAAAACATATATGGGTCAGAAAATCAGGCAAAGGTTCTTAGAAGTTAATGTCAGGGGAACCAATCATGCAAACCAGTCTGTGGAGCCGCCATTTCATGCCCAGTGCTCCAGCTGCTGCTGTGCTAAGGAGGCTTTCCCCTTTACCCTCCACTTAGCTGGGGTTTGGTTGCTCAGTCCATTTAATTTTTAGATCTCCTGGCCACATCACGGCTCTCCCATCGTCAGGACAATCATTTGCTACAGTGCTATGGAGAAGGAAAGAAAAGAAAGGGCAACTGAAAGGCAAACAAGGGGACGAGTAGTTGTTAAGGACTGCTCTGCACCTTCTTACACTTTCCACATTATTTCTTTCCCCTTCTCCAGGACATGTCACACTGGCCCCTGATAGAGGCAGGCCATTGGAGTAGGTGGAACACATCACCATGGCTATTTATATATCTGTCAATTAAAGCTAATATTTTTGACCCTCCAGCTTTCAGCTGGTGGTCTGCCATGGTTCTTCAAGGCAGCAACTCCAGCATTTCCATGCTTAGACACTAACCTAGCAATAATATGTCTGTGGTTCAGGAAGAATCCAATGCCCCTCGTGATGAAAAATCGATCTGTTAAGGTTCAAGCACCACACCAGAAACAGCTAAATAAATCTCACAAAAGCCTTTTCTGTGAAAATAGCCCTTCCTCAGATACTTCCACTCACACAAAGCCAATGTTGATTTTGGTCTTTGGTTAAGCCCAGATTTACTGCTCATGAGGAGCACACATTGTGGGGATGTCTGTGTGGATAGTGTAACCACAGCTATCTGACTGTAGTTTGAATGATATGTTTTTCTTGAGGTGTGTTGAATGACCTAAACTACAGAATAAATGCCAGCTTGAATCTTTAGCATGTACCAGACAGCCTAAACTGGGCACACGCTGTATCCAGACTATTCTAGTAGGAGTTCTCAAAAAACAAAGCCTTACTTAGAGAACAGCTCTCAAAAATCCCAACTCT